ACAGGTGATCCTGCCCCAGTTAGAAACAGGGCAGGGGGACTCCCCTGGTGGTCCAGTGGTTAAGAATCCGCCTTCCAATGCAGGGGATGCCGGTTCGAACCCTGGTCGGGGAACTAAGATCCCACGTGCTGTGGGGCAACTAAGCCACAACTAGAGAGCCCACATGCTGCAATGAAAGTTCCCGCATGCCGCAATGAAGATCGCACATGCTGCAATGAAAGATCCCTCGTGCTGCAATGGAGATCCCGCGTGCCACAACTAAGACCTGACACAGCCAAAGAAATAAATAAATATTAAAAAAAAAAGAAAAGAAAGAAAATGCCTATACTTAGGCAAAATTTAGAAAAGGAAAAAAAAAGAAACAGGACAGGCCCCTAAAATTCACCTGTGAGTTGGTTTTCAGCACCAGGGTGACATTTTCCTACAGACATCATGCTACACCTTGTAGCTGGGTCCTGGTCCCACCCGAGGCCAGCCGCCTCTAGAATCCGTTCCCTCAGAGCGTAACCAGAGCACAGGATTGTGTCTGTGGTAGGACGGGGACACATCACTGTGTGGCCTCGGGGTCAGGGTCTCATCAGCAGGGCCAGAATTCACCAGGGACAGAGGGTCTACTTTCTGGCCCCACCTTCTGCTATTAGGCTCTGAGCCCCCCAAGTGTCAGAGCAAAAGAGCTGTGGGCTGCACAGGGGCAAGGACAGGACCTGAGAAAGCAGGCTGTAGGGAGACCTGGGAAGACTGCCTCCAAGGCACTGGCCCAGCCACCCCTCACCCCCAGCCAGGGAGCCTGGGGGACTGGCCAGCTCACTGACACCCCAGAATTAAGCCTAGGGCTCTGCTGGCCAGAACCTGGAGCAGACGCTGCTCCACTCCCAAACCCTGCCCTTCAGAGAGGAGCCTTCTCTTGGACACCCTCAGGCGGACAGGCTGCCCCACAGGTGCCAAACCCCAAAGGATTTCTCCAGGAACCATACCACACAGCTTCTGGGGTCAGAAGCGTTCCTGGCTTGGGGCCTGGATTCACATCAGTGGGCATTAATTGACCATTTGCAGCTGCTTCCCAGATGAAGATTTCTTTTCCTTTTAATGGAAATATAGGATACACTTGATATAACATTTTTGACCAAAAGTAGAAAAACTCTGTGTGCGTGTATACATAGGCATAAAAGAGAGGCTTGAAATTTACTGAAGATTAGCTATGTTAGATTATCTAATACAGTTTCTGAAAATTTTCATAACTAAATTTATTTTCTTTCAAACAAGTTGCTATGGGCTGAATGTGTGTCCCCAAAATCCATTATGTTGAAACTTAATACCCAAAATGATGGTATTAGGAGGTAGGGCCTTTGGGAGGTGCTTAGATCATGAGGGTGGAGCCCTCATGAATGAGATTAGTGCCCTTATAAAAGAAACCCCACAGAGTGCCCTTGCCCCTTCCACCATGTGAGGACACAGCAAGAGGTCAACAGTCTGCAATGAAGAAGAGGGCCCTCACCAGTACCCGACCGTGCTGGCACCCTGATCTTGGACTTCTAGCCTCCAGAACTATAAGAAATAAATGTCTGTTGTTTATTAGCTATCCAGTCTGTGATAGTTTTTTGTTTTTTGTTTTTTGTGTTTTTCTTGCGGTACGCGGGCGTCTCACTGTTGTGGCCTCTCCCGTTGCGGAGCACAGGCTCCGGACGCGCAGGCTCAGCGGCCATGGCTCACGGGCCCAGCCTCTCCGTGGCATGTGGGATCTTCCTGGACCGGGGCACGAACCCGTGTCCCCTGTATCGGCAGGCGGAGTCTCAATCACTGCGCCACCAGGGAAGCCCTGTGATAGTTTTTTATAGCAGCCTGAACTACAAAGATGTACGTGAAATATATATAATTATATATATTAAAATTTTTCAACCTCACCATTCTTTTTTTCTATTGTATTAAAAGGTTTAGATTATTAAGACCACCAAAACTTATTTCCACACCAATATTTAATGCAGGAGCTGAAGCAAAATACATTGAATTTTAAAAAGAAAACAAAACACCCCGCAAGCAACAATACCCCCCAAATTCTTGTACTTCTCAGGCACTATTTTCCTCCAAGAGAAGTGAATATGAGGAGTTCAAGACCCTGATTTCTTCCTACAGAGACTGAAGGGAGTATGGCTTCATTCTTCTGTGATGATCCGTCCAGAGTTGAATTATTTCATCAAAAGAAGGATCATTCCCCTGATTAGAAAAACTTGAAGTACTCGGAACATGATAGGATGAATTTTCTAAAGGAAATAACCCCTCCAGGTATCTGAGGGCTCTTGATCACACACTCAGTTCTTCCAAAGTAAACATGTTGGCTATAAAAGTCAGTAAATAGACCTTCGGCAAGGCACATGTAACTTTTATAGCTCAAAATTTACAATCGATTTTTTTCTCAAGGCCTTCCTGATCTAAATTAATTTTTAATATACTGACCTAAGGTGCCCAGTTATTTTTAGATAAAACTGTCAGATAGCCCTTAACTTAAAAGTCTGCTGTGAGGTATGAGATGGGTAAAGGATTACATCGCCAGACACCTACATGGATGGAGAAAAATTATACCCAGTGGCCTCATGTCATTGCGTGTAGAAAGGCTGATGGATAAACATCCCTAAGGAGACTTGGGAATCCACCAGGGGGCTCACTCTGCTCTGTTCTTGGGCTATTTCACAGGTACCCGCTCCGCCCAAGACCACTGAACGTGAAGCAGGTGACACAACAGCAAACAGCACACCCCTAGAGAGAGATGAAGACCACTCATGCACAGGGCACATATGATATTGAGAGAGAATAAGAAATACTTATTTGGTCTTACTCCCCGGTTCCTGACACAAAAGCTTCTAAGACTCTTGGAATCTCTGGAGTGATAACAGTGTCTTTTGTATGTTAATGAGATAACTGGTGGCTGGGGGACCCCTAGCTTCAGGACTGGGGCAGGGTTGGGAGGGGGGCTGGTCCCAGAAAGACGACGGCAGATTAGAGAATTGGAACTTTGAGCTCCAACCCCGACCTCCGGGGAGAAGGGGTCTGGAGGTTGAGTTCAATCACCAATGGCCAATGATTTAATCAATTATGCCTACATAATGGAACTGCAATAAAACCCCTCAAATTACGGGGCTGGGGGACGCATCCAAGGGCTGGGAGGGCGGTGCAACCAGAGAGGGCACGGAAGCTCCACACACCCCCATGCCCACACCTTGCTCTATGCATCTCCTCCGTTGGGTTGTAACCTTATAACAAACTGGTAGTAGTAAATAAAGTGCCTTCCAGAATTTAGTAGTAAATAAGGAGTCGTTCTAGCCAATCATCCAACCTGAGGAGGGGCTGTGGGAATCCTCCAACTTCGTAGCAGGCCTCTCAGAGGAACAGGTGGCAACCTGGGACTTGTGACTGGTGTTGAAGGGGGGCGCAGTCTTGTGGGACTGAACCCTTACCCTCTGGGGTCTGCTGTAACTCCAGGCAGTTTGGGTCAGAATTGAATTGAACTGTAGGACACCCAGCTGGTGTCCGGCCAGTTGGAAAATTGGTTGTTGTGAGGGGAAAAAAATAAAACAAACCTAAAAAACCCACACACATTTGGCGTCCTAAGAGTTACGAGGAAAGGACAGCTCAGAGTACGTGAAGCTCGTAGTCATAGAATAAATTCTTTGATTAGAAGAGACTGTCAGATTTTTACTTTCTGAGATTAAGAAAATGATTCGTGCAGTTTCAAGCCACTAAGTTCTGGGGTGGTTTCTCCCACAGCAACAGCAGCCAGAACAGATCCTGGCATCTGGAAGTGGGAGCGACTGAAGTACAGGCCGAAGTCAGCTCCTCCCCGGAACACTTGCCTTGTGCTTGGCCCACCTGTGTTGGCTCCCGACATGAAATGTTTATTTTGCTTCTGGAGGGAAATTTTCTATTGTCCGGTGTGCTTCTCAATGTAGGAGGAGTGGGCAGCCGAGCTCAGCAAGCCCCAGGTCAGGATGTACAGCGAGAACGAGGACACAGCCCAGAGTGGGCACGATGCCGGCCGTCTGTGTGTGGCCAGCCAGGCCCGCTTAGCAAGTGGCAACACCTACGCAGGAACAGAAGCACCAGTGGCATCCTCAGGAATCCGCTTTGGATTTTGTATTTGCGGGATTTATTCGTCCAGAAACAATACACACCTTCTCTGCTTTAAAACACCATGTGGTGTGCTTTGGTTTGGTTTTGGGGATGGGGTGAGGGGTATTCGCTGGTTTCCTGCACTCCACCTGGAGAATGTCCTTTAGCTTTGCTGGGGCAGAAGGTCAGGTATCAGACCGGGATCCCTGCTGTGTGTCACCGGCCCAGGCCCGCGGCCGGGGCCACGGCCTTGGGCTCTGTGTCCTCACCACCTGTGGGGTCTGTCCCCCCTCCCCTTCCTGTGCCCATCCTCGGTCTCCTACAGTTCCCCATCGGCTCTGAGAAGTCACCTCTTTATGCCTCTCAGAAATAAGCCCAGTCATGTTCTATTTTTAGGGGCTCTTAAATGATCTGCCAAAAAAGAAAAGTGCCCGTAAGAAGTCAAACCCTGGACCCTCACCCAGGGAGACCGTTGAGGGCTGGGGACGGGGGAGCCGCTGGCCGCAGGTCAGGGTCATGTCGCTCGGGCCCCGCCCACGGTGGACCTGGATTGTCACACCCAGAGGCACGTGGAAATCCAGGTAGCACCACCCCGTGCGGGAGAGAAGTCGGCTCCGAAGCCGCAGATGTGGAATCCTAGCGGCCCCAATCCAGGCCCCGCCAACCCAGAAGTGTCCGCAGCCTCACCCACAGGAGAGAGCGAGGGGCCTGGGAGAGAGGACACCCGGGCAGATGGCCTCCCTGGGCCAGCCCTTGGCTTTGCGCGCTGGGCCAAACCCTGTCTGGGCGGCTGGGGGAGCCTGGGCTGTGAGCAGAAAGCAAGCGAGCGGTGGTCTTTGACTCGGGGGCCTGTGATTCGTCCCCTCCCGACACCTGACCTTGTGTGTTTTGCTCTGTAGTTCTTCCCATATGGAGACGCCTCCAAGTTCGCCCAGCACGCCTTCCGAACCTTCGACAAGAACGGGGATGGCACCATCGATTTCCGAGAGTTCATCTGCGCCCTGTCCATCACCTCCAGGGGCAGCTTTGAGCAGAAGCTGAACTGGGCCTTCAACATGTACGACCTGGATGGTGACGGCAAGATTACCCGCGTGGAGATGCTGGAGATCATTGAGGTGAGGCAGCGGCCCCTGGGGTGTGGTCAGGACCGGGGCTGCTGTGGGCACGGCAGGCAGACTCCTGGGAAAAGGCTCCCTGGGGCACAGCCCTACGGCAGCTCCCTTCCACCCCCCAGCCAGGAGCCCTGCCAGGCCTTGACTTCTCCGTCCCTGTTCCCTTGCTCCGTCGAGGCGCTGGGAAATGTCACAGGTCCAAGCTGCTGGGTCCTGGCTGTCAATCGCCATTTCAACCAGCCATGCTCACAGTGTGACATCTCCCATAAACGTAAGCCTAGTGGGTGCAAAGGATGGTATCAGGACTCAGTTTCTCCAGCCCTTGTGTTAGCTCTGCCCTTCTGGACGCCGCCCTCTGACTCAGACCAGCTCCCTCCACTGCCCATTCCTCCAACGGCACAAGAACCTGCCCACGGCCCCCAGGTTCCCATCATTCCATGGGAACAGGCATCTTTCTCAGTTGCCTGTGCAGACATCCCAGGACCCCCCCTGCCCACTGCTCTGACCTTAATCTTCCACACTCCTCCCTACACACCGTGCTCGAGATGCCTGGGCTTTCCTGGTTTTCCCAGAACACAGCCTCACGTGAGGGCCTTGATGTCCTCTCTCTCTGCCCAGGGCCGTTCCCCGGGCCCCTCACTACACTCAGGGCTGTGCCCTCATCTCACCTCCCAGCAGGCCTTCCTCCCTGCGTTCCCCTCCCCAAAGAGTGCCCATGCCCCACCCCAGGGCCATCTAACCTCTTACCAACATGATTTTTTGTCACAGCGTTTATCACTGCCCCAAATAACCTCATATGGTAGAACACAAGCACTGTAAAGAGAGGACTCTGCTCACTCACTGCTGTATCCCTAGAACCTAGAACAGTCCTGGAGCCTGGTGGGCACTCAATTACTGATGAATGAATCAGTGCCTTTTCACTGACTGACTGTCTTAGCATGTGTGTCCACCTGTGTGACCCAAGGGGGGAAATGGACCACTTGCCGCAGGCCAGAGCCAAGTGTCCCATCCTGGAGCTGGGGTGAGGCCCCGTCCAGACCACAGAGCTGAGATTCAGGGAGGGTGGATCCCCAAATGAAAACTGGGGGCTGATGGGAAGAAACAGTAGCCAAAACCCAAGTGACCAAATCCCCAGATGCCCACCATGCTACACTCACACTCCTCCCCTGGGGTGGCTCCCCAGCACAGTTCGCTCCTGCTGTGGCCTCTGGAGCCCTGCCTTCCACTTACCCACCCTCCCTTGGCATCTTTCGTCCCTTTTCTCCCTTTGGTACCCACTTACCTTCCCAAGTAAACTGGAAAACCCAACAGCAGCAAGGGTCAGGCCTGGCGTTGCTGCTTTCCTGACTATAGGGCTTTGAGGGCACCAGAGCCTCAGTGTCCTCGTGAAAAAATAAAGGTAATAAAACCTACCCCCCAAGTCTGTGGTAACGATTAAGCACATGGCACACTTCCTCTCATGTAGGAAATGCTCAGTAACCGGCAGTTAGCTCTCGAGGCTCTGTCTCCCTTGGAAATACCATTCGCCTCAACTCTCAGCTTCTTTCCTTCTAATCAGCCGTGTCACCTTCATGTTCCCTCTGCATGTGGCTCCCCTTCTCCATCTCCGGTATTTTCATCAACTTCTGGCCCTTTGCACCTGCACCCTGGCACCCTTTCTGGCCTCTAGCTTCCTTTTTGCTGAGCTACCTTTCCAGAACCAATGTATCAATAACTGTTACAGTCTTTACAGCATCTCTGCTTCAGGAGCTGTTACAGTGTTTACAGTCTTTACAGCATCTCTGCTTCAGGAGCTGCTCATTCATTTGATCAAAAGGCTTTACAGAGCAGGTCCTCTGTGCCAGGCACAGACAGCTGGTCCAGCCAACGTCTGTTTGCCTGCATGTCTTCTCAGGCCTCACCATCCATCCGGGGCCCCTCACTCTTGCACACGCACAGCTGGCCACTTTTGCTTCTACCATGCTTTTCCCCTGGAATGTCCTTCAGGGCTCTGGGCCCATCCAAATCCTCTCACACTTCAAGGTCTAGGTTATCTTGCCATGTCCAAGAAGGCTTCTTGGCCCACTTCAGCCCAGAGTTGCCCACCACCCTCTAGGCTCCTGTAGCCTGTAGTCAGCTTTTCTGCAGGTGCCAACCTCCTGCAAGGTGGAGGGGAGACAGACGTGAAGAGGCACAAGTGCCCACCCTGGAGGAGCTCACTGACCCAAGGATCTGTGTCCACACAAGTGATCAGGCAATGACAGCAGAGTGATCAGGCAATGACAGCAGAGTGAGGCAGGTGCTGTGATGGGGGAGGGTCAGTGCGAGGAGAGCCCAGCAAGGGCCACGTAACCCCAATGAAGGACAGTGCATCTGCCCTGCAGTGTTGGGCACAGGCCTAATGGGTCCACAAGTTTTGGTTGAATAAGAGAGTACCTGAGACGGTTATTTCTTCCTGGGAAAGCACCTGTGGTAACACATCCTTTTTTTTCAGAGTAGACAGTGCTACATATTTCATTGCATGCCGGAGTACCCCATGAAGCATATGAGCCTACAGGGATTCCTTACATTTGTCAGGGAACACGTTCACATTTAGTTCTGAGCCTGACATGCCCTTGGCCTAGGTTGGTGTGAAGTGTGAGTCTGCATCTGGAACATCATTTCCTGGTTGTCATGTTCATGATCCCAATTGCAGGGCTGCATCTTGGATACAATTAATGAGAACTGGCCATGTTCAGAGTTGTTAGATGTGGTCCAGGGTGGACTTTTTGGATTTACATTTCTTTTTGCCGTGTCTTCATCAATGGTGCATTTGTCTTGCTAACAGCCTTTCTACCCATTGCTCCTTTAAGCCCTTTTCTTTTCACCCTTCAGAGGACAGAGTGAGAGTAGCAGCTTGCATGCGGATGACCCATCTGTCTCTTTTTTAAAGTCCAGGCATGTCTGCTTTTCCCTCACATACCACTCAGACTTCTAGGTTAATCAGGACCCCCTCTACCAATTGTCCCTCAAATGAAATTTCAATACTCTGATTCTTTTTTCTTTTTTTGGTTGCACCATGCTGCATGAGGGATCTTAGTTCCCCAACCAGGGATCAAACCTGTGCCCCCTGCACTGGGAGCACAGAATCTTAACCATTGGCCCACCAGGGAAGTCCTAATAGTCTGCTTCTTTTAAACTCAAATTTTCTACCGTAAATCAACACACTCTAATTACAAAAATGAGCAAACAAAATATATTTTATCTCAATAGACATCTTACTTGTTCAATGAAACTCTTGTTACGGTTTACTCTTTCTAATTGGCATTCTTTAAAACTTTATTGAGTTATAATTAACAGGCCATAACTTCACCCATTTTAGCTTTACAATTCAATGATTTTTAGTAAACTTACCTAAGTATGCAGCCATCACCGTAATCCAACTTTAGAACATTTTAATTCTCTCAATAAGGTCCCTCATGCCTGTTGGTACCCCCAGACTCTGGAAACTACCCTTCTATTTTGTCTCTATTGATTTGTCTTTCCAGACATTTCATATAAATGGAATTGTACAATATATGTTTGGCCTTTTATATCTGGCTTTTTTTTTTTTTGAGGTTTATCTATGTTATAGCATGTATCAGTATTTCATTCCTTTTTGTTGCTAAAATAGTATTCAGTTTTACAGATATGTCATATTTTGTTTATCTGTTTACCAGTTGATGAGCATTTGTGCTGTTTTCACTTTGGGGCCATTATTTAAAAAGCTGCTATGAATATTCCCCTGCAAGTCTTTGTGTAGATGAGCATTTATTTTTTTAAGGCACTTTCCTAAGAAAGAAACTCTTTTCTACATTTAATTCCCATTTTGAGAATTAATTGTGCACAATTAATTGAACTGGACGATGGAATCTTCCTACTCTGTTCTTTGACTTATGAACAGAGTCCCTGATTCACAGATCCCCCTAAACTAACTTCTTTCAGGGCTAAATTTTACTGGTCCACCTTGCTTGCTTTCTAAAAGATTGTAAATTCGGGGCTTCCCTGGTGGTGCAGTGGTTGAGAGTCCGCCTGCCGATGCAGGGGCCACGGGTTCGTGCCCCGGTCCGGGAAGATCCCACATGCCGCGGAGCAGCCGGGCCCGTGAGCCACGGCCGCTGAGCCTGCGCGTCCGGAGCCTGTGCTCCACAAGGGGAGAGGCCACAACAGTGAGAGGCCCGCATACCACACACACACAAAAAAGATTGTAAATTGGGACCACACTTCATCTTTTCCTAAATCTCCAAGGAGTAGAGCTTGTTGCCTGTCATCTGACCTCAAACTCAGAATGTTTAAAACTGAGCTCGGGGCTTCCCTGGTGGCGCAGTGGTTGAGAGTCCGCCTGCCGATGCAGGGGACACGGGTTGGTGCCCCGGTCCGGGAGGATCCCACGTGCCGCGGAGCGGCTGGGCCCGTGAGCCACGGCCGCTGAGCCTGCGCGTCCGGAGCCTGTGCTCCGCAACGGGAGAGGCCACAACAGTGCGAGGCCCACGTACCGCAAAAAACAAACAAAAAACAAACAAAAAAAACTGAGCTCATCATTTTCCTTCCTGAACCTGTGCCTAATCCATTATTCTTGATCTCACCACTACCCTTCGTAATCACTTCCTCCAGTCAGAAACCTGGGAATCACATGAAATTCTTCTCTATCCAATTGGTCATGAGACTCACACAGGTTTGATTACACCACTATCTTACTTAAAACCATTTAAGGAGTCCTCTGAAGTAAATTTAGATTCTTTACCCTATCATAGGAGAACTTTATGGTCTGTTTCCTGTTTTCCCAAGGCTATCTACAAAATGGTGGGCACCGTGATCATGATGAAAATGAATGAGGATGGCCTCACGCCTGAGCAGCGAGTAGACAAGATTTTCAGCAAGATGGATAAGAACAAAGACGACCAGATTACACTGGATGAATTCAAAGAAGCTGCAAAGAGCGACCCTTCCATCGTATTACTTCTGCAGTGCGACATTCAGAAATGAGCAGAGATACAACACTATGGACTTCACAAAAGTCTCAATGTTCCGTTCAGTCTGCAGCTATTGACACACACACACACACACACACACACACACACACACACACACAAAAATGTTGCTTGGACTACCTATAAATGGACTTGCTTCTTGTGTTTGAAACACTTGTGTGCATGAGAATGTCATTTGCTAATGAATTTTAAAAGCATATATTATAAAACAAACAACCTGCCACAATGTGATATGTGTGATATCATTTCATTAAAAAAAAAAAAAAAAAACCTTCCTCCTCCAAAGCCTGGGCAGAAATGTGCTGCAAAGAGTTGTATGATTTCTTGTTCATGTTTTGCTAATGCTCGTGTCTCCTTGATTACATAATGTTAGTAGCACTGAAACCCTCACGGTAATGTAACTGAATTATAAGCTGTGTCACCATTCTCCTGTAAAATAGTACTGGACACACAGAGGGGCCCTTGACTCCTCTGTGTGGTCCACACACAAGAGCTTGTATTATCAGTGAATATAAATGTACGAAATTTGCATGCCTTTTAGGTTTGCCTTAATTCTTACCTCATTTGCATCCTATCAATCTGGAAAGAGCTGTGTTGGAATTAATGCAGTATAAAACTTAAAAACACTGCTAAATGACTCATTAATTAAATATATCTATCTCTATATACATATACTCAAAGATATTATTTATTGAAAGTAAAAAAAAGATGTATGTGTATTGATTTTGCTTGAATTTTCAAAGGCTTCCAAAGAGGTGGCAATAGATGTCCCAAATAAATTTATAACATTTGACTTTTTCCCTCAGTTCTTATCTCAGGATTTTAAATTTGAAACAGATGTTCATAACTGTCAAGGGTCAACAGCAACAACTTACTAAATTTACCTTTGAACACACAACTTGGGAATTCAAAGACTTAGTGACAACCAAAGGGAAAAAAGCAACTTCCCAATGCTTCATCCTGGCCCTCAAAGGAGGGACAATTAATATGGCGTGTAAATTTTAAATAAAACATAAAACTTGCTCATTCTCAAAAAATGCTCACTATATGACAATAAATGTTTTCTCAGTGTGACTGTGGTGCTAACCACGCACTGTGTTTTACACAACTATGTGGAGGACACATTTAGCTGACTGAGAAGCGTCCTCCAAAAAGCTGTCTTTCCAAATCAAAAGTGTACTCGTTTTAACGGTGGAACAAAATCCTGACCCTTTTAAGCTTGAGGAAGGAAGACAGAGAGATCCCATCAAAAACTCTAAAGGCGGCCCTGCATTTTCAGAACAAGCCTGAACGAGACCACTTCTTTCTACAGTGCTGGCCAGTAGAACTTTCTAGGATGATGGAAACATCTGTACCTACACTGGCTACATGTGACCTTTGAGCACTTCCAGTTCAGCTAGTGTGACTGAGGGACTGCATTTTTCATTTTATCAATTAATTTAAATTTAATTTGCCATGTGTAGCCAGTAGTTATTGTATCAGACAGTACAGTGCTAAATTATTCACTTTTTATGGAGCGCCTTTTTTTCTAAATACTCCTCCTTTGTCTGTCTTTGGAGCATTAAATGAGACCACAGACCAGGGCCTGATGATTCCATTCATCCATTCAGCAAGAAACTGGGAGCCAGCAAACCTCCCCACAAACATTCAGGGCATCGACAGTACCCGAAACCCCGACAGAAACAAACTTCCGCCCGCAGAGAGAACAGTCCCAAGTGCCAGTAGGATGTCCTGGTGCCCTTAACCCCTGTGCTTGGTGAGTCCAAGGTAGAGGCAGGGAGAGATGTTCTGTGCCTCCCAATATGCTCTCCTCTGGCTGAGGGCGGGGTGGGTTGAGGAGCTGGGGAGACTCCTTGGAAAGGCATTTGGTTAAGTCAAGCTCTAGGCAATGAATTCATAGCAAATTTTCACTGATTACCCTCTGTGCACCCAACACTACTCGTATGGGAGGTGACAGACAATAGACGATACACACACACACACACACACACACACACACACACAAATGTCTAACTGTAAGAACTATGAAGAAAAGCACAGCAAATAAAGAAGGAGGGAGAGTGATGGGATGCAGCAGTGGCTATTTCCTACAGGCTGGTTAGGTGACAATAATGGAAGACCCAAGTGAAGGAAATGAGCCACATGGGGCACTTATGAAAAACAAACCCTTCAGCAGACTCACTGGTAAATAAATAAGTAAAATGTAGAAATTGGGCCAGCAAACAAACATCTTGTTTTGTGCTTGTTTTAGTTCTCTCTGCTCTGCTAGTGTCGACTGGGGCAGGGTCCTGACAGCAGTCCAGCAGTATTGGTTAGAATAAGTGTACATAATGTCCTCTGACCCAGCATTTCCACTCCTGGGTTTGTTGCCCCAAGAAGCTCTCACAGGAGGATATATGGGGACTTGTCCCAGGATGTCCGTGACAGCTCTGTTTCTGGAGTGGGGGCTGGAGGCAACCTAGTGGTTCATGACTAGAGGACTAGGTAAGACGTGGTGCATGCACCCTGTGGCATACTAGGCTTCAGCTGGAAACTGATGTACACACAGCAACAAGCACATGTTTTTACAAGGCTGAAAGGGGAAAAAAGAAACAATAAAATCTATTGCACCATATAATATATATAAATGAAAAAGACATTCTCACAAAAGTACACAAAAGGCACATAAAATAAAAGCAAATATCACACTAGAATTATTTCCAGGGTGTGCATCATAACATCTTATCCCCAAAATGTGATGGCTTAAAATAGAAGCAATCATTTTATTATTCCTCATAGCTTCTGTGGGTTGGGAATTTGAGAAGGTCCACCTGGATGATTCTAGCTGGGGGTGTCTCGTGCAGTTGCAGTCACATGGAAGCTTGAGCTGCAACAGGTGCCTGGAGCAACTGGGAGTTGAGAGGGCCTCAGGGCTTTTCCACATGGGCTAGTTTGTTCTTCCTCGCAGCATGGAGGCTTCAGAGCAGCCATACTACTTGCCTGATGGTTCAGGTCTCCAGCACAAGTATTCCTGCTAAGAAACTGGAAGTTTCCTATTCTTTCCTGCCCTATAGCCTCAATAGTCATGAAGTAACACTTCTCCAGCATTCTATGGGTTACAACACAGTCACAAACCTATTCATAGTCAAGAAGGAAATTAAACTCTATGTCTTGATAGGTTACAAGTTTCTAGAAGAACAGGAGAGATGTTCCCACCCTCTCTGGAAAACAATCAGCCACAGTCTGCCCTGTAGCCACAATTCACATCTCTTCCACATACAAAATGCATTCACCTGCTCCGAGGCAACCAGAGATGAAGGTGAGCCATGAACTGAAGGGCGTGTTTAACACAACTTCTGTAACTGAGTTCCATTTAAACACACACACACACACACACACACACACACACACACACACACACACACACTCAGCAACGAGCATCCTCAAGAACCACAGTGTCCCTCCCAGCCTGTGGTCCCTTCAGAAAGGACCAGCTGTGGGCATCCTCTCATCATTCAAGTGGGCCTGGGTTCTATCAGTTCCAGCTTATACTCAGCTACTATTTTGGTTACCATGTTAATGGCTCTTTAACACCTGCTGCTGTTCTGAAAGGAAAATGCCCCCAAATGTCTTACTTTTATTCTAACCTGAACTCTTTCTGCGTTTAGAAGACATAAGTTTACATATTTCCTCTTTTTTATTTCTTAAATAACTCTAAACTGTTTTTAAAGGGGAATCGTACTGCTTTAAGGCTTCCTTTTCCCTGTAGTTCCCTCATTCAGGATCACGGTCTCTAGATGAATAACATCAACCACTTTCTTAAAGAGGCCAGATGCTGATTTCCTCCACACCGTTGGAAACCGTGTCAGGAAGTAAAACACACGCCTAAATAGACGTCTTCAGAGAGCCTTACCGCACCAGATGTGTAGGGGTTTAGTGAGAAAATGACAGTCAACTAGAGCTTCTAAATAAAATGACACACTGTTCCCTTAGGTCCTTTTGTGTAAGCAATTCAGTTTCCCAAATATTTGGGGCATGCAATTTGGGTTCTTCCCAGCATTATGCAGGCGAAATATAGACCTCTAGACTCTTACCTTATGTTACTGTTTCTCAGGTTCTTACATTTACCAACGTAAAGTTACCCATCAAATACCCGATTAACTAAATGGCTGTCTCAAACGCTGCCTGCTCAGATCAGAGCTGCTGTGCGTCTCCCCACCAGCCGTCCGTCACTCCCCTCCACAGCCGCCCCGCACCTTCCCTAGCTCTGTGAATGACACCACCACTCGTGTGGTTTTTCAGGCCCCAGACCCCAGGCCAATGATCCTTGATTCCTCTCACAGCTCCGCAGTACAGCTGACCCTTGAACAGTACAGATTCAAACTGTGTGGGCGCACTCGTAGGCGGATTTTTTTCAACAGTAAATATTACAGTGCCACCCCATCCACAGATGCGCAAGGGAGACCGGAGGAACCGCGTGTATGGAGGGCCAACTATAAATTAAACTCGGATTTTCGACTGCCCCATACCTCTGTGTTGTTCAAGGGTCAACTGTATTCTCATCAGCAAGTCTCACTGCCCCTGGACTTCGAGTCTGAACACTTCTATCTCGACCACTCTGGTCCAAGTCTCCATGACCTCTGACCTGGATCACTGAAGCCTCCAGATTGCTTTTGCTCTTTCCATGTTTGCCCAACTCTAATCCTAACCTATTCACACAGCAGCCAGAGGGATTCTTTGAAAACGCTTACCAGACCAGGTCTCAAAACCTGCCTAGGACCTGAAACCATCTTACTTCTTTGCCTCTGAACCTCATTCCCTGTGCTCACTAAGCTCTGGTCTTGAGATTTTTGGACGTGAACTTCATTCTCACCTTAAGGCCTTTGCACTCACTTCTTCTGCCTGGAACTGTCAACCCTACATCTTTCCATGGCTCTTCTCTCGCTTGTGTCAAGCCTCTGCTTAAACATTACCTTCTACAAAGTTTTTCCTGAACACTTCATCCAAAATACCACTCCCTTCCACTCTCAACTCCTTATCCTGCTTTATTATTATTCATAGCAATTACCATAATCTGACAAAATACATGGTATTATGTTTCTCTAACTAGACTTTAAGTTCCATGAGGGCAGATTTCGTATTACAGCCGGATTCCCAGTGCTTAAAATAGTCCTTAGCACATGGCAGGAACTTACTCATGTTAATGAATTAATATCTATATCCTTAAGCTGAAGAAAACGTAGGCAGCAAAAGGCCCCTTAAGCTTGATGATTAGTGAGTATTCTCAGGCCGCTTTAGTATCTATGGATTCTATCCAGATGTCATAGCCAAAGTGAAATAGGCTAGGTATCAGTATTATATAAAATTAAGAAAATTTCATTTGCTGACTCAAAGAAACAACTAATTTATATTCACTCTTTAAAGAACAAAACTCTTCAAAGATATATGAAAAATATTTTGATATACCTTCAAGTCCACAGGCATTTAGTTCAACTTATGAAATATCAATAACTTTAAACTTTTAGAACTCTAGGTTTCAAACCAATTCTTCTGAAAATCTTAGTTATGCAAAGTATAGGCCTCTAAGCAGACGAATAAACAAGTCAAAAATCTAACCAGAAAATTGACTCAGGACATAATTTGTAATAATTTTTACTACGTCTAATTCGCATTCAGGGAAACTTTTAATCAGACACTCTGGATCACTTGGTTTTCATCATAGTCAGCAACAATTCTGATCCAGTTTGTGAGGCCCAGGCAATAGTTTCTTATGCAGAATTGAAGCATTTTGGTCTCCATATATCAACAGCCCAGACACTTTGAAGACATGCAGAAAGACACCAGGGGGCTTGCCTGGTGGCGCAGTGGCTGAGAGTCCACCTGCCGATGCAGGGCACACGGGTTCGTGCCCGGTCTGGGAAGATCCCACTATGCCGCGGAGCGGCTGGGCCCGTGAGCCGTGGCCGCTGAGCCTGCGCATCCGGAGTCTGTGCTCCGCAACGGGAGAGGCCACAACAGTGCGAGGCCCGCGTACCGCAAAAAAAAAAGACAAATGTGATTGGTTTTAATAAACCAACATTTAAGTAATATTGTTACTCACACTGATCATCGACACTACAGATTCAGGCATTGCATTCTTCTGAAGTATTTTCCAAATTTTCCCTTCTCCCTTCCTCCCACTCCCTGGTGCCTTTTTTTTTTTTTTTTTTTGTGGTACGCGGGCCTCTCACTGTTGTGGCCTCTCCCGTTGTGGAGCACAGGCTCCGGACGCACAGGCTCAGCGGCCACGGCTCACGGGCCCAGCCGCTCCGCGGCATGTGGGACCTTCCCGGACCGGGGCACGAACCCGCGTCCCCTGCATCAGCAGGCGGACTCTCAACCACTACGCCACCAGGGAAGCCCCACATTCGTCATTTTTAAAAACGATTTTAATCATGTCTAACCCAAAGTTATGAGAAGGTAGGATTTAAAAGTCCAAGGAAGCATTTCTTCTTTGTTTCCCAGGACTTCACGACTCAGTTCAGTCATACCTGCCCTGCTGATAAAACCAGGGGTGGAAGAGTCATCTCTATGAAGTATTCAAGTCACTATTCATGAAGAGGCTTGATTCTGTCAATTATAATATCTTCCCCAATTCACAAAAGGATGACTTTAACTACAGGTAAATTTAAAGTTTTATTTTTAGAAGTTACACATATTTCAAAAAAGCAATTTCTTTTTATTCTAATTAATATTACCATTAATTAGAATATTAATTGAAAATATTTTCACTTACGATAGTTGAAACCCAAACTTTGTGAGGCCAAAGCAATCAATAATCTTCAACTCAACAAGAGATGCCTGGATACCTGAGGATTCTACTGCCCATTCTGTATTAAGAAGCACAACATTAAAAACCTACCACAAAAATTCAGATACTGAAATTGTGTAGCGAATAAAAGTTTATGCATTTGGTATACTCTACTTCATTTTTTTAATTTGAAAAAGCACATGTATGTTAAAATAGTTTTGATACAAATGAATTATAAATGTACCTTTAAAAAAATCAGACTTTGTATTGTTAGCGGAGGATGTTTAAAACATGCGGCACACATTTTCTCTCTCTGTGAATTCTTAGATGAGAAAAGCACAGTTTCTGGACTTCTCATTTACCAATGGATCTCAACTTAAGATTAAATTAGACTCTCTCCCCTCACCAAAAACAAAATCCAGTTTTTCTCAGTTAACTACAGAAGTGTCGCTGCTTTTAAAATACTGTCTTTTTCTTAAAATATTTCCTTTCAATTTCACAAATATTTATTGCTAGCAATAGAGGGAATTCTTCTTGTTGGTATCCACGTCTTTCTAAAAAGGTTAGCACTAATCCTAGTATCAAACATGGAGAATGCAAGCAGGAGTTCTACTCACGTTTTCTTTAAAAAAAAGTTCATAAATACCATTGCTTACAACAGGCTATATTTTATCATTCTAAGAAGCACACTTGTTAACAACTCTAAAATCAGGGTGTGTCTTATAACTGACATCAGCTCCCTATCAGCAGCTGGGCCTTTGGCTCCCAGCTACTTCTCTGCTCCAGGGGGACCTGTCCTCTGCCCCAATTTCCCCAGCCCTCTCCTCAGCCTGGTCTGCACAGTCCCTCTGGCCTGTGTCCTCTCTCGGCTGAGCCAGAGCTTGAGACGCTTTGGACTGCAAACTGCGGGACTTTAAAGCAAGCAAGCAGTCACGCTGCAGGTCAGGATGCACCAGTAGGTCATAACCCAGTTCCGACACAGGCTGGACACTTAGTAGGGTGGATGATGGTTAAGGGACTCAGAGAAAGGCACCGTGTCAGGACTGGCAGTGCTTTAGTAAAGCTCCGAGAACGTGCCTTAACAGAGAGCATCTTACATGTGATGAAACACAATAATTAAAACTACCGCCCCAATCTGCAATTGTATCTCTAGGGTTAAAAACGACCTGTGCAGGGATTGTGACCAAAGTTCCTCCAGTCCTGTGTAGGTCCCCCCTCATTAATAAGCACAAAACAGACAATGAATCTATTGTAAACTGGTCCCTGTTCACAGCCCGCCTGGGCACTGCCCCACCCCCTGCAATGAGAATAATGTAACATTCTGGAAAAGCAGAACTAAATATAACCAGGTGATCAAATCTTTATTTTAATTCTTACAAAATACTATAGAAATGAACCCAAACTAAACAGATATGTACATGTACATATGTACAAAATTTTAAACTTCTGAAAATGAATCTATAAAAGTAGATGGTTAAAATGGAAAACAAACAGACTTAAAAAGATTTAAAACCAGTACTATGAAGTTGATTTTCTCAAAGCAAAGTAATCATAATTTTAAATTGCGGGCTGTGGCCGGTCTTCTAGGCTTATTGTGTCAGATACATGAGTGAGTCTCCACCGCAGAATGTCTTCAGTTCCATTGTATTTCCCATAGTCCCGGGCATCTCCCCTTACACGTCTTTCAACGTGAGGCTGTGGCACAGTCACGGCCACAGTGAATCAACCCCGGTCTTCTTCTTCTCCTTGAGACACAGGTCGGAAAGGCAACGTAGTCTGTCCTCTTTCAGGGTCAGACATTCGAAGAATTCTAATCAGTTTACTTGATGGAAGTGAACTAGAGGAGGCAAAATTAATTATTCCAATTTCCAAGAAAATTTTTTCATTAAAAAAAAAAAAATTCTAATACGACCTCATGAAAATATAAGTCTAAATGGCTGCTAATGGGGGGGTATATCTGATATCTGGAATTCTAGGAGAAATATAACTTGCAATAGGGAAATAAATTTTCATTTTTAAAAATTAACTTCCTGCTAGGTGCCATGGGTTTTCGGTTTGGAAGAAAAAGAAAATGAAGGAGATTTATGCATCAACTATCCCTAACTCTTATTCTTCTTGTCTAGTCAGGAAGGAGTCACCTGAATATTTCCAGTCGTAAACTTGAGTCCCCATACGATCGAGTGACCACTTTAGAGAAAGAATATCAACTTTTAAGTGACACAGAGCCTGACACTATGGAGGTACCTAATAAACGCTGACTGACAGCAGAGCAGCGTTCTCCATTTAGGAAGACTGCTACTTTTAAGTCATCAGGAAAAGAATCAAGACTAGGGAAAGCATGAATTGCTTCTCCGGTCGAAGCAGAATTACTAAAATGACTTTATATTAGTTGGGTCATGATAACCACAGAAGAGCAGATTCAGAATAGAAATATTAACAAGTCAATAATCATATTCAATTAAATTGCCTCTGTTAATGGGAGATAACACAAACAAAATTTTAAATATCTAATACGGGAAAACTACATTCGATCTCTGGAACTAGTTTAGGGGTTGATTTTTCTTTTGACTGGTCATTTATGCATTTGCATTTTAAAATTAAGAATATAAAAGATTTCTCACCCCCTTTTATATACTTGATATATATATAATTCATAGAAGAGTTTTAAAAAGTTACCTCATGCTTTGAGGGGTAAGCAGGATAAACTGTCTGAAGCGCTGGGAATCTGCCATCTTGAGTATCATATCCATCGCAATTCTCCGGTTAACCATATCCTGGAGAACAGAGACAGAAGTCAGAGTTGCTGCTGTGTCAACCATGTTCCTGTGAAAGGAACATTCTACTGGTTGTTATGAACCCCTGGATTTTTATCCAAGGATCATCCATTGTCTTATCTATGATGCCAAGCAATTCATACATACTGTCAAAGATAGTATCTAAAATTATTAGGGGAAAATAACTGAATACCATGTGTCTTCCAGGAATTCCTATAGTCAAAGTACAGCCCCTTGCCTCAAATATACTTAACAGTTAAAATAATCAGAAAATAGTCAAAAGATACAACTAGATGTTGCAGAGTGAATCTAATTTCTACAGTAATACTTAATTGCTCAGGAGAACAGTATCAAAGGTGAACAGATTCAAACTTACTAAGTCTCTCAAGTTTCCCCTCAATGATTAAGGTGTTCTAAAAACTCTGTCCCCATCACCTTCTACAATTTGTACAATGTGAATCAATTTGAATTTACAGACTAATTTCTCAACTGAATCTTTAAAATAAGTTAAATAGCACATCCATGTATAGGGAAAAAATGTTTGGTTATAACTGGTTTTGACTACAGGAATTAAACTGTGTGCTTACATTTTCTGAGTTAAATAACAGAAAAAACAAAAATCAAAGTACCTCTCTCCTCCCTTGAAAACTCCTGAAATTTGAAAACACAGACAAATGAAACTGCATGTGGCCGTACCGTACGGCGTGGCGGTTTAGAACCTTGGCTCTGGAGACAGACAGGGGCCCTGCACCCCAGCTACACTGCTCAGTGGCTCTTACTCTATAAATTCTTCCATCAGGCATATCCCTAAAGTAACCTAACTTAACGTTAACAGAAGTGACCGGAGCTTGCCCAAAGTGAAAACTGTCCTTTCAAAACAATGCCTTGGGGAAGCCCATCATTTAATAACAAAGCTGCCAATGCACCAAGAAATATTTTTTCACTTCCACTGGATTGGTTCTCAGAACTTGGGTACATTTTTCTGAATAATTTCAATGAGGCAAAATGTCATTCTGACTAAGAACCTGTAAGTTTCTGAAAGAGAAAGAAATTGTTCATAATTAAATTTGACTTATAAGATGGGTGATAAGTCTACATAATAGCATTTTGGACAAAAATATTATATGGGAAGAGCAATCATCTTCTATGATTTTGTGAATCAGCTTCGAAGCCAAATCTCAGAGGAATTTCTAACTAATCTTCAGCAGTGACAGCATAGAAAAAAAAAAAAACCACTGAAGGATTATACAGCACTTACAAATATGAATTCTGATTCGTAAATAAGCATTTTCTAAATCCTAATTATGGGCTAGGCATTAGGAGTTAGAAATATGATTAAAACCGAGTTGACAACTTCAAAATTGAAAATTTGGTGGGTGATTCAGACATGAAAATCGGGGATTGCAATAGAATGCAAAATATATAAGTATAATATATATAATAATAAAATGTGTATAATATATAATATTAGATACTATAAAATATAAAAATAATTGCACGAGTTGATGTCAGGTGGTGCTGAGGGAGCTCTGAGAAGTCCCTAATCCTGCCTGGCAGGGTGGTGGTCATGGAGGCTACGTAAAGGGGACATCTGAACCGAGTCCTGAAAGATGAGTCAGAGTGTGACATACAACAAAGAAGAGCCAACGGGCAGAGGTGCAGAGTCTGGAAAATCACAAACAGCTTAGTCCAGCTGAAAAAGTCAGTGGCTACTATATCATGAAGGGTTTCAAAGTCACCCTTCGGAATTAAACCAAAGATTTTCAAGCAAGTGAGTGACTACAATTAGACTTATTTTAGAAATATAAACCTGGCAAGACAGTGAAGGAGGAACTGAGAAGGGGCAGGATTAAAGTCTGAGAGTGTGGACAGGAAGTGATGACAACACGCGAGAGGCGAGGACAGGAGAGGTAACAGGAAGGAGCAGAGGGCGGGGACCAGGGAGATACTTGAAAAGAGAAGAGACAGGGGTCAGACTTCATGTGTAATGAGGAAAGAAGAATCACAGTTAAATCACTGGTTTTGCAGTTAGGTGTTGGGTTGGAAATGGCAATTTGCAGCTAATCAAGGAAAAGATTTCAGGAAAAGGAAGGCTTGGAGGAGAAAAATTCAGACTCAGACACACTGAGTTTGAGATGTGGGTTGTTCACTAGATGAGGTCTCACAGGTAGTCGAGCACACGGGTCCAGAGAACAAGAGAGATGTCAGAATGAGATGCTTAGCTTTGGGAGGGATCCAAACATAGACAGCAGCCTGTGGGACTGTGTGTGTGTGGGCCGGGGGTAGCTAGAACATGATATCCAGGAAAATTAACACCACTATGAAAAACAAAGAAGACCTCAAACATTTAAGGGCACCCGAGTTAGGGGAGGCAGCCTGGCACACGGAGAACGAAGAGGAGGTAAGAAGACACAGTTTAAGAGATGGAAGGTCAGTCTGTGGTGCCATACACTTCACCGAATTAAAGTTCTTATGATTTTTGCTAAACAAGCTTTGCTGGAGTATTGTCGTCTAAACCCAGATTGCAGTGGATTTAGTACAGAAGGAGGCATGAAGCAGTAAAGAGAATGATTAACAGCTGATTTGGGAGGCCCTACTGTGCGCCCGCACCACAGTGAGCACATTACAGATAGGACCTCACTGGAGCCTCGCTCTAACCCTACGAGGTAGGAAAGGTTAATAATCTATTCTATAGTTGAAGAAACTGAGGCCCAAAGAGGACAGATATCTTGCCCAAAGTCAGCTGGGTAACTGGTGACAGAGGTAGGTCTCAATCTTCGGTGTTCTAACTTCGAAGTCCAGTGTCCTCGCTCCCTCCTGTTACACACACTGCTGTTTTGAAAAGTGTGGCTGTGCAGGAAGGGAGAGCACAGTGGCGAGAGTCAGGGAAAGCAAATGTGGGGAACTGCTTATAATTATGTGTAAAAACGGAAGATGGAAGCAAACTGGGGAAAAGGCTGCAAATCCAGGACAGGGTCCCTGCCAGTGTGGTATGTTAGCAAGGGAGAGAACTGGAATTCTTTGGTTCTTCTCTTATCACTTATCACAGACAAAACTATCAGAGCAGGATCTTTTCTGTTATGGGTAAAACTAAAGAATGAATTTGCTTCCTTTCAAAATATACATTTCAAACAACCAAAAAATTAGAGAATTTAAAAGTCAACACTACCATGTAGACATCAAACTCATCCAGGCATCTGAAAGGAGATTCAGCAATGGACCACAGAGAAAGAATGAAGCAAACTGTGGAAAAAGAACGTTCACCGCCAGATAAGGCCCTCATGTCATTGAAAGCGGCTTTGTTTCCCTCTCCAGGCTGAACCTTGAAAGAGTTGACAAAAAACAAAGTATAGGAAAAAACCAGATTAATTTCTTTACAAAAAAGATTGGCTACCATTAGAAAGGATGAGCTTATAGTAAAAAAGAAGATTTAAAAAAAATCATTTAGTGACTTGGAAACGACATCTATTCTATTCAAAATATTTTAGAGTAAAACAGTGAGCTGTGTAACAGTGGTTTCTGTTTTATTGTGAGAGAATCAAACTGAAAACAGTTTCTCGCCATAACCAGATCTAACATACCAAAAGTCCAAAGGCTTAATAATAAAAGTACCAATGTTAGTCCGTTTCATTTTTTGCATGTAGGTATCCAGTTTTCCCAACACGATTTATCAGAGACTATCCTTTCCCCATTGTATATTCTTGGCTCCTTTGTCAAATATTAGTTGGCCATATATGCCTGGGTTTATTTCTGGACTCTCTATTCTGTTCCATTGGTCTATGTGTCTATTTTTATGCCAATAGCGTACTGTTTTGATTGCTATAGCTTTGCAACATAGCTTCAAATCAGGAAATGTGATGCCTCCAGCTTGTTCTTTTTTCTCAAGATTGCTTTAGCTATTAGGGGTCTTTTGTGGTTCCATACAAATTTTAGGATTGTTTTTTCTTTTTGTGAACAATGCCTTTGGAATCTCGATAGGGATTGCACTGAATCTATAGATACCTTTGGATAGTATGGACATCTTAACAACATTAATTCTTCTGATTCATGTACAAGGGTTATCTTTCCATTTATTTGTGTTTTCTTCAATTTCTTTCATCAATGCCTTAATAGTTTTCAGTGTATAGATCTTTCACTTCCTTGGTTAAATTTCCTAAGTATTTTATTGTTTTTGATGCTATTGTAAATGGGATTGTTTTCTTTATTTCTTTTTGTCAAACATTTTAAGTGCCAAGTTAATCTTTTGTTACTTGAATTCTAGTGACATCTAGTGGTTAAACTGCTTTCAAAGTAATTAATGAATGTCAAAATGGCACAGGACCAACTTAAAGAGGCTCACACTGGCCAAAGAATAACAGCAGCAATCAATTGAAATACATAACTCTCTTTAAAAAATTTCTCTTAGTAAGTGCTCATGGGAACAATATAAAAGTAATTAGTGAGATAACATTTTCATATAATTTCCTAAGAAGACAGTATAAGTAACATTTGAAGGAACTCAATTTCATTTTAAGAGAATTCCAGATATACATATATGCACTCAAGTTGAAAAAACAGCACCAACCAGTTTTATCATATGTGTTTTAACAGATACACAGCTTCATGTATTTTCCAAAACACTATTTGAAAAATTATTTGGTTCTCAAGTGAGCATTCACTTATATTTTAATCTTCTAAGGGTTATAGAAAATTCTGAATTTAAACATACACTGAAATTTTATATTTATCATCTGAAGTCTGAATTCTCTATGAAAATCCAAACACAAAAGCAACATTAACATAAGCAGTAAAAAGCCAAACAAAACCAACCAAACACACACACACACACACACACACACACACACACACACACACCACACACACACACCAACAACAACAACAGAACAGTAAGAACTAAGAAACAGGATGCAGTCTTTTGCTCCCAAACTGCATCTTGTATCATTCTAATGAATTAAGCCCCAGATAAATTACGGAGATCTAAATTTTATCCCTGGCCTATTAGTAAACCTATCATGGGACTTCTGCCTCAGTTTTCTTATTTGTAAAATGAAGACTAGAAAACTTGAAGATTCTTAAAGCAATAATATTCTGTTGAATAACAGGGATGATAATGTCAGAAGATCTAGTTTCATTTGTCTTGAACAGCTATGGCTCTGGGGATAAATTATCCAAACACCTAATATTTTCTTTTACTAGAGTATAATTTTTACTAGAGTATAATTTATATACAGTAAAGAACACAAAGCTGAAGTGTTCAGCTCAAATAATTCTGACATATACGTACACATATACACACACACCTGGGTAACCACTACTCAGGTCAAGACAGGACATTCCTAGCATCTCAGCAGATGCCCTGTGTCCTCTCCCGTCAACTACCAACCCCTAAAAGGTAACCACTATTTTGACTTTAATTACTGTAGATAAATTTTACTGGTTTTTGAAGAGTTCTGAAAAGTGGAGTTGCTTTAATAGACCCTGCAAGACAGGTTTCTAAATTAGTTCTACCAAATTATACTCCCACTAGCAAGGTATAAGCCTTCTAAGTCCACAACCTCACCCACACAAGGTATTATCAGTCTTGTTCATTTTAGTCACAATAATAGGAGTGGGACAGTAACTTACTATGGTTTATTAAACTTGTATTTCTCTGATGACTAGCGATACTGAGCACCATTTCATGTGCTTATTCACCACTTGGCGAATTAATGACTTTTAACCATTTTTAAATGTACTGTCATTCTTTTTCTCAATTATTATTATTCTTAAAAATTTTTAGATGGGTTCTTAGTTGCATATCTGTATGGCAAATTATTACTTATTCTAAGTATTAAAATGGAAGTATAAAATTTATGGCAACTAAGAATAGTATGCAAGTATTTGAAAAGTTTGCCCCAATTATTTAGAGTGAGTAGTTGCTTTTGACCTCCTGACTACACTATTTTTTTTTTTGCGGTACGTGGGCCTCTCACTGCTGTGGCCTCTCTCCCCTTATGGAGCACAGGCTCCGGATGCGCAGGCTCAGCGGCCATGGCTCACGGGTCCAGCCGCTCCTCGGCATGTGGGATCTTCCTGGACCGGGGCACGAACCCATGTCGTCTGCATCGGCAGGCGGACTCTCAACCACTGCACCACCAGGGAAGCCCTATATATTTCTGATATTGCAACAACATCATTACTAAGGAAAGCAAAAAGTGGAAGCCCATACTAGACTGACAGTGAGACTAATTATCTCAGCTGCTGTTGAAAGCTTATCAGGGCCCCTGACTACACTATTTTTAATGCTATATCCCACATTCCTTTAATGCATGTGACTATGTTAGAATCCAGACACACAGACTCCACAATTTGAAAGTGGTGGCTTCCTTTATACAAAAGAGGCTAGATCTAGGGATACCTTCCAAAATAAGTAGCACAAAGACCATTACATGGGGTCGAACATTCTTTGAGAAATTCTTTTCTGGCTTCCTATAGTGGGGCCAGAGAATACAGACTTTCTATAATGCCCCATGTAATTTAAAATGCTATATGAATTTTAAAAAGGAACCAGTGGAATGAAAAGAGAAGGCGAATATTTATCACTGAAAATAAAATTCCTAATTATCACCATAAGAAAATAATGTGGCTGTCTAGGGGAAAAAATAAAAAGCTAAAGTAATGGCTTTAGTCAGTAAAATCCATTTAATTTTCAACACTTTGGCAAAGACCATCTTTAACTTCAAAGTAAGCTATTTTGTTTTCCAATGACAACAGATCAAAATATCATCAAAAGAAACGAAGCAGCTAATTCTCCTAATGACTAACATGCAAAGAGTTAAGATACTTACAGATATAGTAAGAGTTTCATTCTTGTGGTCAAAATTCATTTTTCCACAATAGGCCCGCTGAGATAGTAAGTTGTCAAAGTACAATTTGCATCGTAAAGTCAAACACCTTGAAAAAAGAAATTGGGCATATTAAAAAGATTACAGAGATACAGAACTGTGTATTCAGCGTGATCTTTACACCAGCATGTAAGGCCAGATGAAAATATGCCAAGATGTTAACACTGGGGCCCATTTAATAGGTAAAATTTTAGATGATTTTTGCCTGTGTCTTTATATTTCGTTCATGTCTCCACATTTTTACCACTTCATGTCCTTTGATAATAAACAGACATCTATAAAATGAATAAAGATGTCATCCCACATATAATGAAACCCATTCTATTACAGTCAGTCCATATGAATGTATCAATCATTCAACTAATTTATATATCACCCTAATACAGAAGACATGAATCTTGTCCTTGGGAGGATTAAACTCTAGTAGTGTTAAGATAATGGTAAACTGCCTATTCATTTGCTGTCTCCTCCTAACTTTACAGTAGCAAAAAGGCAAAGGCAATCTCTTAATCATGTTGTACCTGTGATACCCTACGCACTGTCTAGCACAACGTGAACTTATCTGTCATATGGCATTCTGCTGTAAGGAAGAGCTTTCCCTTCTTCCTCATTTATTTACTTACCACCTTTCTATTTATAAGGACGCAGTCACAGATTCTTATTTTGTTCATTGGGTTGTCATCCATTACTGTTCTTATTTATTTCGGTCTTCAAATTGTCCCAGATTTTGCCAATGGAGCCCCTTCAAGCTGCCTATGTCCTTTTATCATGACTCCACATTTTGGGGGGGCACTTCCTTACTTTCTGGCACAGCAAGAGGCTCATCTATACCTTCCCTGCTCTGCTCCGGTATCATCAGCCATTTCACAAAGGAGCCTTGATTCCTTTTGTTGCGGAATGGTATTTAGAAAATAAGATCTAGGTGACAGGCGACTGGCTATTTTTCTTAACATCTTTGCTCCTTAATGAGTCTAAGGCTCCTTTCTTCAGAATAACTATCTTCTTATTCTTTTCCCTCCCAATTCCCTTCCTAAACTGTATTAAACCTCCACATTAGAAAATACTGATAGTCTGAGTTTTCTTTTGCTGCCACAACTATTGCTAGCTGGTTTTCAGAATTTTCTGTTAACTTTTCTTTCTTTCAATACTCATATGTATTCTTCAATTGCTTCCACTCATGGTATGACTAAAAGAGGCTGTCCTCATAAAATGGCAAGGTTCTCCAGTGTAAAGAGATAAACAATTTTAAAAATTTGACCATTTTTATTGTCCTCCCAAGATTGGATAAACAATATAAAACATGTCAGTGGTGAAGAAACATATCAAGATAGAAAACTAAATAAGACCAATACCTTTACAGAAAATATTCTAAAATTTTCTGAATAACAATATGAAAACGAACCCTACTGCTTCTGGAAAAGACACAGTAATAGGCATTAGATTTACTCTTCTGTGTGAAACAACTAGAAAACTGGACAAAATCTATGAAACAAGAGTTTTTGGACTCTGGACATCAGACATCGCAGACAGTTCCAGTCAAAAGAATCTCTGAAAGATGGGAAACAAACAAATTGAGCCCCGTGAACGCCCCATATTACTTTTATGTTGAGAGTAAAAGGGAGTGGAAACCCAAGCGGAGTCCAGAAGTCTTCCTGTTTAGGAGTCTGGGGTGTGGCCAAGGCAGCTCCGGTTCACGAAGCAGCACAGAGAGAGCTCCAGAGGACCACAGAGGCGGGAGGGAGAGCCTCAGGCTGAGCACCTTCCTCCGCAGTGTCCATGTGAGGATACTGCCCGAGGCTGGTGAGAGGAACACCCAACAGAAGCAGAAACAACCCCCGAGGTCACCCAGAGCCAGGAATAGTTCATATTCCCAAAGGCACGAGTGGAATAACCTCACAACATATCAATAGAGGACCCAGAAGAACACAGCTGCACAGGTAAGGAAAAAAATCAGTCCTTCACCAAAGCCTGCTCCGGTCCCACCTAACAAAACTGCAAGGCAGCCTCAAAAGGATAAAATTAAAAACTCTTTAAGTCAAGTCCTAATAGCATGCATATAAAACTGAAATACACATTTCAAGAACTAAGCTATAGTTTAGTTAAGGAATATGGTCAAACATGCAAAGCCCGTTTCTCATTACGGCTTTATTTGGATTTCCCCATACGTACTAGAGCTAAATTAAAAAAAAATTTCTGTAGTCTTAAGATTATAGTTTTTGGTATAAGTACAGTTAAAACGCATGTTACTGAGGGAATGTCAAGGGGAAAACAGAGGTTAGGTGCAAAGACTAGGGCTGCCCTGGATCCAAGTATATCAAAGGGCAAACCTACCCTATAAACTGTCCTTTATTTCTGTTGCTTGTGATTTTAGCTGAGGTTAACTTATCTCTGTCAATCTGCACATTTCTGGGTATATTAATGACATCCAGTTTTGCTGACCCTGTATTCATTCATTCAACCAATATATATCAAGTTTCTACTGTATTTCAGGCACAGTAGTAGGTACTGGGGATACAGCAGCAAACAAAACATAGATTCTGCATCCATGGAGCTACACCATTCTAGTAGATCATGCTAATCAACTGAGAAACTGCCTTAACATGTCCCATCAAAACTCGTATGCCTTAAGAACATGCAATGTCCAAGAGTGAAACAGTCTGTGAACAGACCCAATGAGCTTCCAAATGACCCATTTAAGCACAGACTGAACAGCCATCTATGAGTTATCCAGTAAAGCATATCTAATGCAGTTTAAGTTTAAAAAGCTCACTATAAAAGTCCCTTCAAATCCAGGATCCCAAGCACTACCACTATTTCTTTTCTGAATAAATCATGCAAGTTCTTTTAATTTAATTTTATTATTTATAAGCGAGAATGTGAAAACAAAGAAAAAACAAAAATGTACAATATGTGGTAATATTTTTTAATGCACTTACCTTCTAAATTGTTGATACGTTTTATATCTATGGGTCATTATTTCTTCCAGTAATTTAATAAACCTTTTTAAAGTCCTTACTTTGTTATCCAGATCAAGATAGGTTTCTCTTGCTTCTTGATATTGCCTATTTTATGAAAAAAAATGTTAAGTAAATAAATGTCATTCAATGAAACATAAAGTAAAATCTCAAATATATTTAATAGGAAGAACAGGGAGTGCAGGGAGTGCTGAGAGGGCCCAGCAGTCGCAGGTTTCATAAATCTCCAGACAAATACACTGCCAGAATGTGAGCGTGCTGCCCTGACTGGGGAGAGCTGTTAGCAGGGCTGGGCAGAAACAAAGTGCAAGCCCTAGAGAAGGCAGAGAAAGTAAGTGAAGAAAGTGCCCAAGTCGGGCCCAGAGTGGCAGATCGTAAGAGAATACCAGCAAATACAGATCTTCTAGCAAGGAAGGGATCACACCAGAATGCAAGAAATGTTCCCCTTAGTGACAGATGCCAGTGTAGGAACAGAAGAACACAGGTTGGGCATTAGGATCCCCCCAGCCCCAGCCTGAACAAGACAAGGTCAAAGAGGCCGGGAAGGCACGGCTTCTCAGAGTGCTACTGTGGAGGCAACAGCTCATTGCTGTAGAGAGGGAGAGAAAGATCCTGACAAAGGATGAAGGGCGAACCCTGGCCAAGGCTCTCAGTGATCTGTCCCATCCTCCTTCAAATGTCCAGTCCCAGAAAATCCAACTAATTAAAAAACGAATAACCAAAAAAGCACAAACAAAGCACACACACAAAGATACTTATGGGGGGAAAAAAGCGCTGGGAAAGAGCAGCAAAACTCTCTCTATGGACAAAGAAAACTTACTACAGCAATGTTGTCACAAAGCAGATTAAAACTGTAATTGAACACGATAAATTAAAACAAAAGAAAACAAAACAAGACACAGTGCTACCAGGAAGGAACACCTCAAAGCAGAAATGAAAGAACTGAAGGAAAAGATAAATCAAGGAATTCAAAGCTAACAGACAGGTAAACAACAACAGGTTTACAAAGAGACAAGAGGAGAAGCATGAACTTGCAGAACCCAAGGTGGGGCAAGGGAGTGTAGACAAAAAGCAAAAAAAACAAAGACATGAGACAAAATGAGATGACGCATAGGAACAAACAGACAACACAGAAAACATCAACAGACAGATGAGAAATGAGAAAAACAAACAAAACAGGAAAAAAAAACCCACATAAAATGGTTAGACAAAATAACTAGAGAAGAAAAAGTACATGCAACATATGTATAACTGAAGACCTCTAAAAAGAACACTAGACAACAGAAAATACTTAAAAGTAAAATACCAGAAAACTTTTAAGAAGTAAGACTTAAATCTATATATTTTTTAAAAAAGCACCGTGTATACCAAGGAAAGGATTACAGAATTTGACATTCTGGATAAGTTATAGAACTTAACAGATGAGCATCATCAAACACAGATACTCAGGAGAACGAGGATTTTATACTAGGCTAAACTCTTACCTTTCCAACTCAAAAGCGAGAGACAAATAGTTTTGAACTTGCAAAAATACAAAAAATATTACTCCTATGGCCATTCTTAAGGAAACAATTAGAGGACCAATAACTTTTCAAATGGCTAAACAGCCGTTTGGAAAAAGATAAAATACATTCCTCACATCAAAAATATTCACAGAAAAAGAAATATAAATAAACGGTCCTTAAGACATGAAAAGATGTTAACCACATTTAATAGAAGTGAAATGCAAATTAAAATTACACTGAGGTGTATATATATATATTTTAGGAAATATATCTATCAGCAAAAAGAATCTAAGATAATCACACATTGTTTAGGCTGTGGGGAAACAAGCACTCACTGCTGATAGGAGTGAAAAAAAAGTACAATCCCTAGAAAGGGGACTCTGCCAGAATGGGGTTTATCCTATTAAAAAAACAAAAAACAAAAACCCGAATTTATACAAAATAATGCATGCATAAAATTATTTGTTGTGTACCACCATTTATAATAGCAAAAAATCAAGTTAAAACTCAACTATCCATCAGTAGGAGATGACTAAATACTGTGAAACATAAAAACACAATGAGAAAAGGCCTATGTACTGATATGGAAAGATCTACAAAATATTTCATTAAATCAAAGAAAGCAACCTAAAACAGCTTAGTGTACTACTTTTTGTATCTGCAAGGATGAAAACACATACTCATATCATCTTGCCTTTGCATACAGAAACATTGAAAGCATATTTAATAAATTAATTTAATAAAAGTGAAAAAATTCATTGTCTGCCCTTTCACATTATATTTTTAAAACATGTAAGGTATTACCTATTTTAAAGAAAAACTTCTGCTACTATTTTTGTTTCTTTCCCTTTTGCCCTAAAGTTTGTGAAAACAGAATTGAGATCACTCCTGTTCCCTGCCTTTTTTAATATGAAAAATTCTTCATAAAGTTTAATAGCTATAATTTCTACTGTAATTCAATCATTATCATCCAGTTATACAAGATTTCTAATTTTTTAGTGTTATACAAACTACTATGTATAAAATAAATAAGTTACAGGAATACAGCACAGGGAATATAGCCAATTATTTTATAACTATAAAGGGACTACAATCTATAAAAATTCTGAATCACCATGTTGTACACCTGAAATATAATATTGTAAATCAACCATAGCTCAACTAAAAAAAATACGAATGCTGCAATAAACATCCAAGTACAAATTGTTTTTTTTCATTTTGGATTATAACAACAAAATTACTTGGCCAAATTGAAATTTTTAAAGGCGTTTAACATAAACTACCTTAAAACTTTTCAGAAAGACTAATAACAATAACATCTAACATATTATGTATCCTGTACATTGTTTATTATGGGTTATCTCATTTAATCTTCATTACAACTCTATAAGGTAAGTACTATAATTATACCCATTTTATAGATAAGAAATTTGAGGTTCAGAGCGATTAGATAACTTTCCAAAGTCAGTTTAGTAGGTAACAGATTTGCAATTCAAACTGAGGTACTCTTGCTTCAGAACCCGTGCTCTAACTAAACTAGAGCTTCCATTTTCACAATATAAAAATATCCATTTCAAAAAAAAAAAAAAAATATCCATTTCACTGAAATCTCACTGACATGAAATATGTGTTCTTTTCATCCTGATATATATGAAAATGGCTTCTAATTGTTTTGCTTTGCATTTCTTTGATTACTTCTGAAGCTGAATATCCTCATGTCTATATGAATCTTACAGGTATAAAAATGGCAACTATGTTAAAATGTCATTCTGTAATGAGTTCTGTAATAATTCCGAAGGAAAAATGTTTATTATTAATAATACATGTACAAAAGGCTAGTTTATCTATAACTATACGCCATAGCAACACTTTACCCAAATTTAAGATTTATATATAAATGTTATTTTTTGTCTCACTATTATATATCTATGGATAATACCATAAAGCAGAAAAGCAAGCAATCACTTACCTCATTATTTCCTCTCGATCCCCGTGACTAGCATGTTCTGCCTGTATCTTTTGTCTTAATCTATTAATTTCTTTGTCTAGAATTGATGCAGATTTTTTTACTTCTATCCGCTCTGGGCAGATTTGTCTTGCTTGTGACATTTTCTCCTAAGATAACAGATGTTTAACTTTAAAACTCTTCTTTGATATAACAATTCACTGTACTACTTGTGCCAAAGTATGCAAAATAGAATTCTGAACTTATGTTTAAGAAATGTATTTTAATTACGTTTAATATCATTATTGTTCTAAGCTTTATATTGAGAATACGTTCCAGAGTTGTCATAATCTTCAAGAGAAAACTGCATTGGTGTACACAACTTTAATAATTTGTAAGAGCTCCATAACTTCCTAGTGAAACAAATTTCAAGTAGCAGTTATGAAAGGTTTGGCACCCAGGGTGCTGAGGTCAGACATAGCATTCTGTGTGTTTTAGGATGGATTCTGAACATCAAGTAGTACTGAAAACACAAAGACCCTCGTGTTTGTAACATATTAAACATAGTATTTATATTCACGACATTTGTAGTACAGTAAGTTTTAAACAAGTAGGGAAATGAATTAGAGTTTAAATCATTTTCCTAAGACATGTAAAAGCAAAGCTGGAATTCCTCTCTTTTAGGTTAAACCAGGGTTGCCCTCAACTTACTCTGCTCTAAAAACAGGGCTGCTGCTTTCAGTTGTCAACAAAGGTTATCTAGTAAGTGGGAGCTGAACTGCAACCCAGCTCACACCCAAATTACTCAGAGGCAGGGGAGCATTTTTCTGACATAAAGCTGTATGCACTTGCCAAGCTGGGCATTTAAGGGACTATTTCAGTGGAGGCAGTGCCATTTTCCAAATCACTCAGTGACACTACATGGGGCTGTGGCAGTGCTGCCTGAAGTCCTCTTCCTGTTGATCTAAGAAGTCCCCACACTCTGAGAGTTCCTCAGTCTTTTCCTCTGTTGATTCACTGAAACAGCTGTTACTTCATACAAAACAGATAGTCATCGGACAACATGTCTATGTTTGGAAAACATGACCTTAGGAAAACACACTTTAATAATCATGACTAAGGGTGTAAACAAAACATTAAGAAAAATGATGGATAACCTCTAGTTCTTTTTCTTTCATATCTAATTCTCGTTTCTTTTTATTTAAAGTATCCAAGTGTTCTTTCTGCTTGTCTTCATAATGCCGTTTCCCTCGTTTTTGGTTATCCACTTCGGAATCAGCAAGGTTTAATTCATCCTGTTTAAATAAAACCAAAATAATCTATAAAGATTGCTTTAAAAAATTATCAGCATAGGCATAAACTAATTGACAACTCAGTAAAGTGGACAGGATTATGCTGCTTTAAGAGGCAAGTGTTATTAAGTTCATATCCATATGTTTCTGAAGAGAAGTGAAGAGTTCCCCAAATTGAGAAGTAACATTGTCATATTAAAGCTCTTGTATGAAGTCTCCATACCTTATGGTGCTCTCAACTTTATTTTGGTAAACAAGGAGGTTTCCTGGGAAGCTACGTTAGCCTGACAAGACTTAAAACAATGCAAGTGTTGTATATTACAGAGGTACCTGACAGAGGAAACCTGTTTTTAAAAAAAGGTGAATTGGGGTGGAGGAGGAAAAGATGTGAAGAAATTTAACACTGACTTATTTGGTCATCATTTCTGGAGGTGTAACCTCATAATTTTGAGAACAAAATATAATTGTAAGGAAGCTATCCCAAGATCACTTTATTCATTTATTTATTTTTAGCGGTATGTGGGCTTCTCACTGTTGTGGCCTCTCCCATTGCGGAGCACAGGCTCCAGACGCGCAGGCTCAGCGGCCGTGGCTCACGGGCCCAGCCGCACCGCGGCATGTGGGATCCTCCCGGACCCGGATCACGAACCCGTGTCCCCTGCATCGGCAGGCGGACTCTCAACCACTGCGCCACCAGGGAAGCCCAAGTGCTTTATTTTTAAGATTAAGTACAAGGCAAGGACGTGCAGTCCCATTGCTTCTATTTAACATTTATTGGAGGTCCTGGATGGTTCAATTAAAATAAGAAAAGGAAATAAAAAGTATACAGATTGGACACGAAGAATCAAACTGTATTTAAAAGAGAGATGACTGTGTATAAAGAAATTCCAAAGAAAAAGTTTTTAAATTAATAAGTGAGTTTAGAAAGGTCACTGGATGCTAGGCCAATACAAAAATCAGTAATATTTCTACATAGGAGGAATAATTGAAAAATGAATTAAAAATCTACAACATTTACTATAGTACTAGGCACTTAGCCAAGAGAAATGAAACCCTATCATACAAAAACCTACACTTAAAGGTTTAGAGCAGCTTTATTCATAACCGCCAAAACTGAAACCATCCAAATGTTCTTTAATAGGTACATGAATAAGCAAGCTGTGGTACATCCATACAGTGGAATTATTACTCAGTAATAAAAAGGAATAAGCTATTAATCAGATAATGATAACATGAATAAGTCTCAAATACACCATGCTAAATGAAAGAAGCCAGACTCCAAAGGTTACATATTATAATTCCACTTACGTGATACTATGTAAAAGGCAAAACCATAGTGATAAAGAGCAGATCAGTGACTGTCAGAGATTAAGGGCGGGGGAGGTTTGGCTACGAAGGAGCCCTGTACGGGAATTTGGGAGGGGGGTAGGGGGGAGGGATAATAGAACTGTTCTGTATCTTGATTGTGGTGTTGGGTACACAACTTTATGCATTTATCAAAACTCCTAAGTTTTGACACAAAAAAAGAGTAAATTTTACCCTATTTAAATTAAAAGATGATTTTTTTTTTTTTTTTGCAGTACGCAGGCCTCTCACTGTTGTGGCCTCTCCCGTTGCGGAGCACAGGCTCCGGCGCGCAGGCCCAGCGGCCATGGCTCACGGGCCCAGCCGCTCCGCGGCATGTGGGATCCTCCCGGACTGGGGCACGAACCCGTGTCCCCTGCATCGGCAGGCGGACTCTCAACCACTGCGCCACCAGGGAAGCCCAAAAGATGATTTATTAAAAGTGCTATATTTAAAATAATATAGATGAAAGAGAAGATCAAGAGCTCTGGAAAAATCCATCACTCAACTCTTCTAATTACTCAAAATACAGCTCTAATCACCGTAAAGATGCCAACGCTGAAGACACATGAGAAAGGTTAAAAAAATTAATTCATGAAATGTAAATGGAAACAAAGCAGTATTTCTAAATGTTAAATATATCACTTTGTACCTGTGATTTTGTGGTCATGTATAATTAAATTTGTAGACCTAATGTCAAGTACACATTTTGATTATTTTGCCTAATAATTTCATATATGAATGGCGACTAAAATACATTTTCCTTTGTTACTGGATTTTTCCCTTGTTATGGGAATCTGCCTTCTGTTTGAGTACATGCAATAAACAAAATTTCTTTAAAGGAGGCATAGCCTGGTGAAAATATTTTATTTAGAAGATGATATATATATATATATATATATATATATATATATACACACACACACACACACACACACACACACACACACACACACACACACACCGCCCCACCCTCCCATGGAGCAGTGTTTGTAGGCAACCAGTACCAGCAGTTGTGGCCACCCTGAGCCATTGACTTCTTTATCATCAATTTGGATGTTTTAAAAAATATACAGATTTCCAAACTCCACCTTTGGAGATTCTGTTTTAGTAGGTTGAGAATCCCTGAATCTCAATTTTTAAAATGGCTCTTGATTTAATAACCACCAAATTAAATTTTAGTCGGTTTGTTTTTTGAGCCTAGTACTGGACATATGTACTATGATGATCATGTTCACCGTCAAGAATCACAGTTATAAGGAAAAAGAAACGAACACAAACCAAAACCACAGCATCAAGGAAGACAGAATATTTGGAGATATCCCAAAAAGAAAAAGAACATGTGAAGAATCTAAAAACTGCAAGTATTTACCTCATATAAAAGATTAGATTTAGGCTATTTGCTGACCTAAGAATACAATTTACTGCATCTTGTTCATACTGCTAAAAATAACTATCACCCAAGGTAGACACTTAATAATATACAGCTTTTATAGCAGAGTTCTATTAAAAATAAAAACATTGTTATATGGAGTATGGAGATACTCTGTTCCTTTACTTTGAGGAGAATAAAAGAAAATGGGTGCAATGTATATAGTAGGAGATACTACAGTTAGAAATTGCAATACTTTATGAAACAGAATTCTTAAACACTAAATTTTCTAATCATTTTTGGTAGGAACTTTCAAAATAAATATGTCCACGTTTGCTTTAGGGAACCAAATCAGCTTTCTAGAGCCAAAGGGGTCAATTATATCAGGGCAGATTTGTGCTGCTTAATCTTTTCTCCTAGCAACTTTAGAAAGGGAAAGACTTGACTCATAAAATAAGATGAAAAGAATTTAATGTTCTTTTCTCCACGTTTATCATGGCTTTTGACTTGTCCTTATATATTTTATAAATTTATATCATAGGTACCATCAAATTTAAAACTAAAAAGGAACCAAGAGAGTATTTCTTTTAATTTCATGTTGTTGAAAGGTGAAACAGAGACTTAAGAGATACTAAAAGCCAGTTAGTGACACTCATCCTGGTTTTGGGGTGAGGACTAGGTTGGATTAGATCTAAAATTAATCCTGATGTAGCCCTAAAAAGTTCAGCCTTTAAAAAGATAGGCTCAGATGCTAGAAGGGACAGAATCATTGAAAAATTTTATTCTCTTTGATGCCTAAATAACCAATTTTAGTTACCCGACAACATTGGATAAATTTCTACAGTATGTATTACAGCCACTTGCTTCATATAACTCTACATCAATTATGAGGTTTTAAAAAGCTATAGATCAGGGCTTCCCTGGTGACGCAGTGGTTGAGAGTCCGCCTGCCGATGCAGGGGACACGGGTTCGTGACCCGGTCCGGGAAGATCCCACGTGCGGCGGAGCGGCTGGGCCCGTGAGCCATGGCCGCTGGGCCTGCGCGTCTGGAGCCTGTGCTCCGCAACGGGAGAGGCCACAACAGTGAGAGGCCTGCGTATCGCAAAAAAAATTTAAGAAAAGCTATAGATCATTAGATCTTGGAATTTTCAAAAGCATGGTCAGCCTCAATCCAAATAAACACTTATTATCTCTGTCAGAAACTGAGAGGCCCTCCTACTCCAAAATGCAGACTGTCATTTTTGATGTAGGTCATGCTCCCTGTACAAAAAATTTAATTTGTGACTAAAGCATTAAGTTTGCAGTGTAAATCAAAATAAACGGTTCAGAGGGAGAAAAATACTGAAATCTTATGTGAAGATTTCAATGACTACATATTTGAACAGAGTATTCCACTCCTCACCACTCCTCTGACACAAAATGAACAAACATCCTGATAGCAAAGAGATTATATTTAGAAGCTGCTAATGTATCACAAAGACAGTTTCTGAGGAATTAAATTCTTTTGTTAGCCAAATATTCTTGGTCCTGTTGTTACCTATTGGGATGGCTATCGGGATGTGATATTGCAAAGGAAAACCCTCTTGGCTACTGGCTGACTGCATGCAGGTTTACTGAAGGACTCATCCAGCTTTCACTTATTTGCAACCAAGGCAAAGAACTTAAGACCAAGAATTCTTACTGCCTTCTGACCATATTTTCCGCTCTTGAACTTATCTACGCACTCCCAATTCCAGGAGTTGCGTTAGCCTACACGTCCCTAAAAGAAGAGAACACAGCTGATCCTTCGTTTTTTGTTTTTAATTTTAAGCTAGCTGGGACAGTTCGGGTGCTAATTATTTCCTTCCCTGTATTGTTGTAGCACATACTTTATCATTTTGATTTTAAGTCTCCCTGCTCAAGCCTTCTTCACCCATTTAAAATTTTCTTTTATCTCATCTTTGTTTTAACTTCACTGCTCTAATTTCCGAGTTTTGAATTCTCTCTCTCCTATTCCTGACAATTTTCATACTCATTTCTTCTTATTCTATTTTCTTTTAAAAACTAATTTTGTCTTCTTTTTTATCTTGGACTTTTTGTGTTTTTAATTCTAATTTCCCGTAGTAACCACTATTTGTCTTTTTCAGTAGTATCCTTAATACTTTTTTCCTTCCTCACAAGTTTATTATTAAAATTTTATATTCTTCTTAATCAGTAATTTATCAGTCTATTTTCCCATTTTTTATTCTTATCTCAAGTAGGACAAAAGTAAACCACCTTGCATTACAACAGCAGGCAGGAATCACAGCTCTATGGAGAGGAGCTATAGAGGGGCCACCGCAAACAGAGAAAAGTTGTTTCTGCTCGGCTCCTCCTCTAACTTCCTTTAACAAATTATGTTTTCTAAAATTGTCAATGGAGACAATTACGGTAAAGTTCATATGCATGCAAATTCTTTTAAATTTTTAAAATATCTAAATACATTTTGATTCAAAGGGGTAATTTTCCTGCAAAAAAAGGGGGTTATATCATCAGTAAACCTTTCTCCTCTTAAAACATACTATTGATTCTTCTCAATGTCTTATAAATAAAATTTGAGGTTTTGAGAATAATTGAGCTATTCATAAAAATGAGAATGATAATAAGCTACTTGACAACAAAGCTATTAAACATGGTGAAATTTACAGAATGTAATTGTTAAATAACTTTATTTCCCTAATTTGGTTCCCAAAAGTATGTGCTTTCAAAAAAAAAAAAAAAAGCCGATTGAATTCTAGCTGGAATATAATGCAGATATGTTAATAAATGGGAATTGGGTAGCATTTTATTTCAAGATGGCTTTTATACCAACTAATTCTTCAGCTATTGAGGAAAAGTGGGACAAGAGAACAGATAAGCACAGAAACAGTATAGACAGATAAGATGTCCTGCCTCTAGTTCTAAAAGAAGAAAAAATCTCACAAAATAAAAAGGTAACAAAAGCTGTAATCTTCTGGGGGGTCAGAAATTTGGCAATTTATTCTCTCCTTAAAGGCGTGAGCAGAGTGTTTAATTCTAATTGATCTAATGATGAAAAGCTGGTTTACAGCCCAGTTTTATACAGTTACATTTACATTTAGCCATAAATTCTGTTGAGGAAATATCTAGCCGGTATACCGTGTATATAAAACTGAAACATAAAAAATATATATAGTAGAGTAACAATAATACATACCTTAAGTGGATCTGCTAGCTCTGATAGCTGATTAATTTTCTGTTTAATTGCATCATACTTGTTTTCCGCTTCTATTTTCAGACTTTTAAAATGTTCCATATTCTCTTTTTGTTGTTCCATATTTTTCTCAACCATTTTCATTTTGATTTTATTTTCTTGAGCTTCGTCTTCCTGGCAACATTTACAGAGCATATAGAATTAATTAAAACACTTTTAAGTAATCAAATAGAAAAACAGTACAAACAATTCTAGAAGAGGAGAAACTATAGGCTACTAGTAAATCAGACTGAAGACAAATACAAAGAACAAATTATGATATTTTCATACTCTTAATGGTAAATTAGGAGGTAGAAGAAATAGGTTCAAAAATAGAAAAGGATTACATTTAGAAGACAAGCTACATTGTGCTTGAGGTCATAATCAAAAGGGGTAACTTTTATTCTATCTACTCACTTTTTCTTTCAAAATATAATGTATACAAATATATATCTTATGCCAGACAATGTGTTAGATGCTGAGTAAACAAAAATAAACAAGACACAGTCCATACCTTTAAGAAATTTAGTCTATCAATAAAAGTAACGAAAGCAGAAAAACACTAAGTGGAAAACCAGATTACTAATAAAAAATGAAGACAAATTCTTATTAGAGTAAAGCTCCATCAGTGCAGGGACTTGATCTGTTTTGTTCACTGTTGTGTCCCTCAGCATTTAACGTGATGTCTGGTAGAGAGTAGACAATTGGTAAAAACTGATTCATTTTAACAAGACCCTGCAATCTATCTAATTCACTACTTATGGTAACCCAGAGAGCTAAGCTGAATGTCATAAAAAGATGTCTAAGAGAAATTAAAATAGAGTAACAAATATGCGGTCAATTAAAACCATTAACTTGGAAAAAAGAAAATAATGCAAAGAGACCAACTTCAACTGACTAAAAGATATCACAAATATTGATACTGATTAATTCTGAAAAAAACTATGCTAGGTAGTTTGGTTTGAAAGGGCACTATTTACATAATAAACTCTGATAAAGTTTTATTTCATGTATCAACAGAAGAAGACAAAACCAATTACAATGCATGCAAGTTGCACGTACAAAATATTAAGGAACTTGAAGGCCATACACCAGGTAGTTTCTACCTTGTTTGTAAATGGATATAGCAATCATAAAAAGTAGCCTCAAAAAAGGATTTTTTTTACAAAGCTGAGAGTAGATACTCTTAACTTAAATGACAGATTTGTCCTTTAACGTTACATTTAAGCTGAGGGAAAGACTCTTACCAGGGTTGCGATATCTACAGACTGGTGCTCTTCTATGTTCTCAAGTTCCCGAATTTCAGAAATACTACTTCTTATTCTCATCTTTTGAAAAACAGTATTTAGATTTTAGTAAACAGAAATAAATGAAAAATACAAACAAAAACCCTGGGCAAGGATGTATTAATCAACAAAGTTCTACTCTGCTTTACGTTACAGAAGGATTCCACAGTTAATGAAAGAGACACATTAGTATTAAATGAACCAAAGGAAAGTATGTATAAAGTCTGCCCTGATCACCACTATTGCTAATCCACTCTCACGCAAAGCAGATACAAGTACTCCACCTTAGCATTTAAAACGATGACAGTGTTGAGTCCACAGAGAAAGCACTTTCCTGAAACATCCAGTCTCAAGTTACAGAAAGATTACTCCCGTGGTTCTTAAAGTCTAATCCCACGATCTCCTGGGTGTCTCTGAGACTCTTTCAGAGGGTCCATGAAGTCAACACTATTTTCATAAAAACGCTAAGGCATTATTTATTTATTCATTTAAAAGCCTTTTTTAAAAAAAATTTATTTTATTTTATTTATTCTTGGCAGTGTTGGGTCTTTGTTGCTGCGCTCAGGCTTCTCATTGTGGTGGCTTCTCCTGTTGCAGAGCACGGGCTCTAGGAGCATGGGCTTCAGTAGTTGTGGCACGCGGGGTCAGTAGCTGGGGTTCGCGGGCTCTAGAGCGCGGGCTCAGTAGTTGTGGCGCACAGGCTTAGCTGCTCTCTGGCACACGGGATCTTCCCAGACCAGGGCTCGAACCCGTGTCCTCTGCATTGGCAGGCAGATTCTTAACCCCTGTGCCACCAGGGAAGCCCGGCATTATTTTTTTTTTAAGACCAATTTTACTATGAATTTCTTACAGGTGTACAGGAGGTTTATAACTATGATGTGCAATATTGCAACAGACTGATTACAAAAGCTGATATGACAGTTCAGGTGAATTTTATTAAGCCAGATGTTAGTGATTTAAAAAATATTAAAAAACGTCAATCTTTTTACTAAATCTTTTTGGTTTTGGAAAATAGTTATTTTTCATAAAAATGTTATTTATGTTAACACATAATGTACTTATTATTTTTAAATGAATTAATAAACATTCTTAACATTCTCTTAAATTTTGCTTTAATTTTTAATAATATGGATACTGATAGATAAAACCTAAACAGGCAAAAGCTCTTTTAAGATTGTAAAGGGGCTTGAGGCCAAAATAGTTGAGAACTATTCATCTAACTAAATGAATGTTAAGACCTTAAAAATAACTTGGAAATGATTAAGTTGAGAAAACAAATGATGTTTTTTTACCTTTAAGTCTTTATAATGTAGTTGGCACTTTCTAAGAAGTTCTTCATTGTGTTTAATATCCTTTTCAAGGGCAGACAAATGTTGCTGAAGATTTGATATCTGGGCTTTCTTATTTTCAACCTCATTCTCCAAGTCACTTAATAGAGAAGAGAGGGTAAAAAAAATACTTTAAATTTACTTCCGAATATTACAAATATTTAGATCTTTACAAAGAAAGCCCTATTTTTAATAGCTTTTTTGCAAAACCTATGCAGTTAAACCCGTTCTCTATTCCTACCAAGTAATGCATAACATGAAAATACAGAGATTTCAAAAAACATCTTCTACACTGGAATTAAATTTTACTTACTTCATTAGTATTTATGATTTATCTGTGGTGGTAGGCATTGTGCAGTGACAGGCAGAGGTAGAAAAAAAATTAAGGCATAAAGGAATCAAACAAAAAGGCAAAACATCAGGAAATAAACCATAACATTGAAATGTGAACAGGACACTGCACTGTATGTCCACAATACGACGGGAACCTAAGAGTAAGTCTGGGAGAAGTGACGACTGACTTGTGTTCTCTGAAGTTTTCACCAGATGGACCACCTAGAGGAGAAGACGGAAAGAAATACACGAAGGCACAAAGAGGTGAAAAACAAATAAGACTGAAGGTCAGTAAAACTGAAGGTCAGCTCAACATTTTCTGTGGTGAATAAATGCTATGAATGTGTGGGGAGTGAAAGGGAAGGAGAGGAGGACAATGAAAAGAGGTGGAGGGAAAGGTCGGCAGATGCCAAAGCCATAAAGGGTCTCTATGCCAGCAGAGGCAACTGTCTCCAGAAGTGATCTTTTCCTGCCTCACTGACTCTGTCTTCTAAAACTCTGTGCCTGGGGGAAGAGAACCACCTGTGCAATTAAGAACAACTTTCCTCTGATAAAGAGTGTATGCCAGATTTCACTAAGATGCACATTTTTCTGCATTTTAACATCTCTGAATTCTGAAATCATCTTCCAGTCCATGGTTCAACTATCAATACTTTTCTTTTTTACTGGTATATAAAATAACAGAGCATCTTAAATTTGCTGAACTATTAGAACCATGCTACCTTGTGGAATTCTCAAAATTAAAAACAAAAATTAATGATGTTAGCTGAATGAATGATAAACAAATGATAAAATGAGAAAAAGAGGAGAATAAGTGTGGTATTTCTGGTAAAAATGGAGCCAGATGCAAAAACCTTTTCAGAGCCATCTTTCATCAACAGGAACCTGCCAGTGCTGAGTTGATGAGGGTATAGAAAAACATACTTCATATACTCATAGTGTGAGAGGGGATTAGGGAATCAATTGTTCTGTAGTCATTTGGCAATTGCTATTAAATGATCAACTTATATAATAATAAAATAAAATTTTAAATTTATTTTAATAAATATTAAGGCTCATTTAATATTATTAAGTGTTAAAAATATTATTAATTGTTTAATGTTATTAAATATTTAAAATCAGGCCATAAATTGTATGTTAATAAAACAATGACAGTCATTTGGCAATAGCTATTAAAAAATTTTAAAATTCACATATTCTTTGACTCAGCATTTTCACCATTTAGAATTTAATCTATGCACATACTTTCAGAAGTATGCCAAGATACACATGTGCATTCTCACTGCAGCACTGCTATAGTAGGAGAAAACTGCAGATAACACGTATGTCCATCAACAGGAACTGGTCAGGTAGATTATGGAACAGCCATACCAAGGGGCAGCGCTAAGTGTCCTGATATGGAACAATCTCCAAGATATAATACTGAGAGACAAAAAGCAAGACACAGAAACCATATGCATACTAATACACAGCAGAACTGGATGAACCTTGAAAACATTATACCTAAGTGGGGGCAAAGGGCTTCACTTTTCATTGCATTCATTTCTGTACTATTTGAATTTTCTCACCATATGCCTATATTACTTTTAATCATTTTTAAAATGTCAACAGGGACTGTGGGGAGATGGAATTATGAGCTACTTTTGTTTTCCAATTTATATTTTCCGTATTTAAAAAACACCAGTGAATTTTTTAAAATTTCCAAATATCAGACAACTATCATACTGGTTCAGGTCAAAACAGATGACACAAATATCATTTAAGTATCATGATAACTTAGTACATTTTCAATCAATAAAGTTTATCAAGGTGAGAAACAATTTTTAAAAAACCAATGTTCACCTGGCTTTTAAAACAAAAGCTCTGCCCACTACACATTGATGCAAATATTTTAGCTAAAAATGAAGCCAATTATTAACTTCATAAGTAAGTCTTAAACCATTACTACTAAAATGCTAGAATCAGGGATCCTGATTTGCTGCTGATACACTTACTACCTTTTCCAAGAATGTCATACTTTTTTTAAAGATGTGGAACACAAATGCACAAGGCATTTTTTGTTGAAAGAAAAAGCATGAATTACACACAGGAATACTACCATGATAGTTTATACTGTTATTTGCATTTATAGTTATTTGCATTCATGTTTGCTTGAGTACTATATAATTTAGTCTTACCCAGTTAAGAATTAGAAGGGCCTGATTTAAGTGTCATGGCACAGCGGACAAAAATTTATCACTTTACAGGTCACTTTTATACAGGTACGTTCAGACATTGATGAATTTTCATCTATCCTATCACAAAGATTCAGTGTCAATTTAAAAAGTGTGTTGAGTGCTGTAATAACAAGCTGCAGGTCATTCAACAGTTTTCTGTTGCTAAAAAAGAAATTTTACTAAACTTCCCAATATCCGCTATGGTTATTTTGCTTTATGCTGCTCTCATACTCATACAAAAATAACTAATATAATTTGAAAATCAGATATCTATTTTAAAAAACCTCATTTCCCCCTATATATAAAAGCCATTTAGAATACTTTCACTTTTACTCAGTTTTCTTAGTGCTTTTACCTAAGTTCTATGTTCTTCTGCTTGAGGTCTTCTAGGTCACTAATTCAGCTCCACCTTATCAATTCATCAACTGACAGTTCAGTTGGGAAAATCATGCTTTTTTCATACCAAAAGTTCTTTTTGCACACGTTTGAATCTTATTAAGTACCTTTAGTTTTTTGCTTGGCTTCTCACTGCGTCTCCTCTAGCAGCTCTATCTCCCTAAGCATTTGATCTAACGGTGCCGACTGATTTTTCTTCTAGAACAGTGTGACTCAAAGTACCAGGCAGAGACACAGCAAGGACCTTGAGCCAGAATGTATACCCAGCACACCTGTACTCTCACTGAGAAAAATCAGCAAAACTAAACAATGGTATAGTGATGTAGCTCATTTACATTCTGAGTTAAGCTCCTTACCTCCTTGCAGACAGGTAATAATCAATGTGCAGACCAGCTCGTCAAGTCCAGAATACTGTCATCAAAGTCATGATGGAAAATAACCATCAACCTAGAATTCTACATCCAGCTAAATGATCTTTTAAGACCAAACAGATTACTCACAATTCTTCACTGACATAACTACTAATAGAGTAATATGAAAAGAAATGAACCCCAAAGAGCTAGTGGGAATAATACAGTAAAGCTACAGTGGACACTAACCTTATTTCAGAATCCACATCTCTGCTGAGAAACTTAGGTCTTTTATATTCAGATGAATAATAACGCCCTGCAAAAACTTGATCACCATCAGCAGTAAAAGCTTCTCTACAATTCTTGGGTGGCTTTTGGGACTGCATTACTGCACGAGCTACAGAATTATTCTAAAAAAATAGAGGGGAAAATAAATGTTAAAAATATGCCAAAGCATTTCTGTTGTATATAATTTCAAAATATTACCTATTACCACTTTAAGATTCAAGTATTTTTATTTAAACATTCAAATGAAATAATTCCATGAGAAAAATAAAATAATTTAAAAAACAACTTTCAAGATTCAAAGAATTGAACTATTAAGAGTCTTAAAAACATAAGAAATGATGTTTTAGGACAAACTGATATATTTTTTTGAATTTTATTTATTTTTTATACAGCAGGTTCTTATTAGTCATACATTTTATACATATCAGTGTATACATGTCAATCCCAATCTCTCAATTCATCACACAACCGTCACCGCCACTCTCCCTGCTTGGTGTCCATACCTTTGTTCTCTACATCTGTGTCTCTTATTTCTGCCCTGCAAACCAGTTCATCTGTACCATTTTTCTAGGTTCCACATATATGCGCTAATATACAATATTTGTTTTTCTCTTTCTGACTTACTTCACTCTGTATGACAGTCTCTAGATCAATCCACGTCTCTACAAATGACCCAATTTCGTTCCTTTTTATGGCTGAGTAATATTCCATTGTATATATGTACCACATCTTCTTTATCTGTTCATCTGTCAATGGGTATTTAGGTTGTTTCCATGACCTGGCTGGTGTAAATAGTGCTGCAATGAACAATGGAGGGCATGTGCCTTTTTGAATTATGGTTTTCTCTGGGCATATGCCCAGTAGTGGGATTGCTGGGTAATACAGTAATTCTATTTTTAGTTTTTCAAGGAACCTCCATACTGTTCTCCATAATGGCTGTATCAATTTACATTCCCACCAAGAGTGCAAGAGGGTTCCCTTTTCTCCACACCCTCTCCAGCATTTGTTGTTTGTAGATCTTCTGATGATGCCTATTCTAACTGGTGTGAGGTGATACCTCGTTGTAGTTTTGATTTGCATTTCTCTAATATTTAGTGATGCTGAGCAGCTTTTCATGTGTGTCTTGGCCATCTGTACGTCTTCTTTGGAGAAATGTCTATTTAGGTCTTCTGCCCATTTTTGGATTTTGTTTTTATTATTATTGAGCTGCATGAGCTGTTTATGTATTTTGGAGATTAATCCTTTGCCCGTTGATTCGTTTGCAAATATTATTTCCCATTCTGAGGGGTGTCTTTTTGTCTTGTTTGTAGTTTCCTTTGCTGTGCAAAAGCTTTTAAGTTTCATTAGGTCCCATTTGTTTATTTTTATTTTTATTACTCTAGGAGGTGGATAAAAAAATATCTTGCTGTGATTTATGTCAAAGAGTGTTCATCCTATGTTTTCCTCTAAGAGTTTTAGAGTGTCTGGTCTTACATTTAGGTCTCTAAACCATTTTGAGTTTATTTTTGTGTATGGTGTTAGGGAGTGTTCTACTTTCATTCTTTTACATGTAGCTGTCCAGTTTTCCCAACACCACTTATTGAAGAGACTGTCTTTTCTCCATTGTATATCCTTGCCTCCTTTGTCATAGATTAGTTGACCATAGGTGCATGGGTTTATCTCTGGGCTCTTTCCTGTTCCATTGATCTATATTTCTGTTTTTGTACCAGTATCATATTGTCTTGATGACTATAGCTTTGTAGTATAGTCTGAAGTAAGGGAGTCTGATTCTTCCAGCTCCTTTTCTTTTCCTCAAGATTGCTTTGGCTATTCGGGGTCTTTTGTGTCTCCATACAAATTTTAAGATTTTTTGTTCTAGTTCTGTAAAAAATGCCACTGTTAATTTGGTGGGGATTACACTGAATCTGTAGATTGCTTTGGATAGTATAGTCATTTTCACAATATTGATTCTTCCAATCCAAGAACATGGTCTATCTCTCCATCTGCTTGTGTCATCTTTGATTTCTTTCATCAGTGTCTTATAGTTTACTGAGTACAGGTCTTTTATCTCCTTAAGTAGGTTTATTCCTAGGTATTTGATTCTATTTGTTGCAGTGGTGAATGGGATTGTTCCCTTAATTTCTCTTTCTGATCTTCCGTTGTTAGTGTATAGGAATGCAAGATTTCTGTGCATTAATTTTGTATCCTGCAATTTACCAAATCCATTGATTAACTCTAGTAGTTTTCTGGTGGCATTTTTAGGATTCTCTATGTACAGTATCATGTCATCTGCAAACAGTGACAGTTTTACTTCTTCTTTTCCACTGTGTATTACTTTTATTTCTTTTTCTTCTCTGATTGCTGTGGCTAGGACTTCCAAAACTATGTTGAATATAGTGGTGAGATGGACATCCTTGTCTTGTTCCTGATCTTAGAGGAAATGCTTTCAGTTTTTCACCATTGAGAATGATGTTTGCTGTGGGTCTGTCGTATATGGCCTTTATTATGTTGAGGTGGGTTCCCTCTGTGCCCACTTCCTGGGGAGTTTTTATCATAAATGGGTGTTGAACTTTGTCAAAAGCTTTTTATGCATCTATTGAGATGATCATATGGTTTTTATTCTTCAATTTGTTAATATGTTGTATCACATTGATTAATTTGCATATATCGAAGAAGCCTTGCATCCCTGGGATAAATCCCACTTGATCATGGTGTATGATCCTTTTAACATGTTGCTGGATTCTGTTTGCTAGTATTTTGTTGAGGATTTTTGCATCTATATTCATCAGTGATATTGGTCTGTAATTTTCTTTTCTTGTAGTATCTTTGTCTGGTTTTGGTATCAGGGTGATGGTGGCCTCATAGAATGGGTTTGGGAGTGTTCCTTCCTCTGCAATTTTTTGGAAGAGTTTGAGAAGGATGGGTGTTAGCTCTTCTCTAAATGTTTGATAGAATTCACCTGTGAAGTCATCTGGTCCTGGACTTTTGTTTGTTGGAAGATTTTTAATCACAGTTTCAAGTTCATTACTTGTGATTGGTCTCTTCATATTTTCTATTTCTTCCTGGTTCAGTCTTGGAAGGTTATACCTTTCTAAGAATTCGCCCATTTCTTCCAGGTTGTCCATTTTATTGGCACAGAGTTGCTTGTAGTAAGTAGTCTCTTAGGATGCTTTGTATTTCTGTGGTGTCTGTTGTAACTTCTCCTTTTTCATTTCTAATTTTATTGATTGGAGTCCTCTCCCTCTTTTTCTTGATGAGTCTGGCTAATGGTTTATCAATTTTGTGTATCTTCTCAAAGAACCAGCTTTTAGTTTTATTGATCTTTGCTATTGTTTTCTTTGTTTCTATTTCATTTATTTCTGCTCTGATCTTTATGATTGCTTTCCTTCTACTAACTTTGGGTTTTGTTTGTTCTTCTTTCTCTAGTTCCTTTAGGTGTAAGGTTAGATTGTTTGAGATTTTTCTTGTTTCTTCAGGTAGGCTTGTAGAGCTATAAACTTCCCTCTTAGAACTGCTTTTGCTGCATCCCATAGGTTTTGGATTGTCTCGTGTTCATTGTCATTTGTCTCTAGGTATTTTTAAATTTCCTCTTTGATTTCTTCAGTGCTCTCTTGGTTATTTAGTAACGTATAAAATAACCTCCATGTATTTGTGTTTTTTACATTTTTTTTCCCTGTAATTGATTTCTAATCTAATAGCATTGTGGTCAGAAAAGATGCTTGATATGATTTCAGTCTTCTTAAATTTACTAAGTCTTGATTTGTGACACAATATGTGATCTATCCTGGAGAATGTTCCATGCGCACTTGAGAAGAAAGTGTAATCTACTGTTTTTGGATGGAATGTCCTATAAATATCAATTAAATCTTTCTGGTCTATTGTGTCATTTAAAGCTTGTGTTCCCTTATTAATTTTCTGTTTGGATGATCTGTCCATTGTTTAAGTGAGGTGTTAAAGTCCCTTACTATTATTGTGTTACTTTCGACTTCCTCTTTTATAGCTGTTAGCAGTTGCCTTATGTATTGAGGTGCTCCTATGTTGGGTGTATATATATTTATAATTGTCATACCTTCTTTTTGGATTGATCCCTTTATCATTATGTAGTGTCCTCCCTTGTCTCCTGTAACATTCTTTACTTTAAAGTCTACTTTATCTGATATGAGTACTGCTACTCCAGCTTTATTTTGATTTGTATTTGCATGGAATATCTTTTTCCATCCCCTCACTTTCAGTCTGTATGTGTCCCTAGGTCTGAAGTGGGTCTGTTGTAGACAGCATATATATGGGTCTTGTTTTGGAATCCATTCAGCGAGCCTGTGTCTTTTGGTTGGAGCATTTAATCCATTCACGTTTAAGGTAATGATCGATATGTATGCTCCTATTACCATTTTCTTAGTAGTTATGGGTTTCTTTTTGTAGGTCCTTTTCTTCTCTCGTGTTTCTCACTTAGAGAAGTTCCTTTAGCATTTGTTGTAGAGCTGGTTTGTTGGTGCTGAATTCTCTTAGCTTTTGCTTGTGTGTAAAGCTTTTGGTTTCTCCATCAACTCTGAATGAGATACTTGCTGGGTAGAGTAATATTGATTGTACGTTTTTCCCTTTCATCACTTTAAATATATCATGCTACTCCCTTGTGGCTTGTAGAGCTTCTGCTGAGAAATCAGCTGTTAACCTTATGGGTGTTCTCTATTATGATATTTGTCGTTTTCCCTTGTTGCTGTCAATAATTTTTATTTTTCTTTAATTTTTGTCAGTTTGATTACTATGTGTCTCGGCATGTTTCTCCTTGGGTTTATCCTGCCTGGGACTCTCTGTGTTTCCTGGACTTGGGTGACTATTTCCTTTCCCATGTTAGGGAAGTTTTTGGCTGTAATCACTTCAAATATTTTCTCTGGTCCTTTCTCTCTCTCTTCTCCCCTGGGACCCCTGTAATGCAAATGTTGTTACATTTAATGGTGTCCCACGGGTCTCTTAGGCTGTCTTCATTTCTTTTCATTCTTTTTTCTTTATTCTGTTCCACAGCAGTGAATTCTACCATTCTGTCTTCCAGGTCACTTATCCGTTCTTCTGCCTCAGTTATTCTATTGATTCCTTCTAGTGTATTTTTCATTTCAGTTATTGTATTGTTCATCACTGTTTGTTTGTTCTTTAATTCTTCTAGATCTTTGTTAAACATTTCTTGCATCTTCTCAATCTTTGCCTCCATTCTTTTCCCAAGGTCCTGGATCATCTTCACTATCATTATTCTGAATTCTTTTTCTGGAAGGTTGCCTATCCCCACTTCATTTAGTTATTTTTCTGGGGTTTTATCTTTTTCCGTCATCTGGTACATAGTCCTCTGCCTTTTCATTTTGTCTATCTTTCTCTGAATGTGGTTTTCCTTCCACAGGCTGCAGAACTGTAGTTCTTCTTGCTTCTGCTGTCTGCCCTTTGGTGGATGAGGCTATCTAAGAGGCTTCTGCAGGTTTCCTGATGGGAGGGACTGGTGGTGGGTAGAACTGGGTGTTGCTCTGGTGGGCAGAGCTCAGTAAAACTTTAATCCTGTTTTCTGCTGATGGGTGGGGCTGGGTTCCCCCCTCTTGGTTGTTTGCCCGGTGGTGACCCAGCATTGGAGTCTTCCCGGCTCTTTGGTGGGGCTAATGGCTGACTCTGGGAGGGCTCATGCCAAGGAGTACTTCCCAGAACTTCTGCTGCCAGTGTCCTTGTCCCCATGGTGAGCCACAGCCACCCCACACCTCTGCAGGAGACCCTCCCACACTAGCAGGTAGGTCTGGTTCAGTCTCCTATGGGGTCACTGCTCCTTCCCCTGGGTCCTGATGCACACACTACTTTGTGTGTGCCCTCTAAGAGTGGAGTCTCTGTTCCTCCCAGTCCTGTCAAAGTCCTGCAATCAAATCCTGCTAGCCTTCAAAGTCTGATTCTCTAGGAATTCCTCCTCCCATTGCCAGAACCCCAGGTTGGGAAGCCTGATGTGGGGCTCAGAACCTTCACTCCAGCGGGTGGACTTCTGTGGTATAAGTGTTCTCCAGTTTGTGAGTCACCCACCCAGCCGTTACGGGATTTGATTTTATTGTGATTGCACCCCTCCTACCATCTCATTGCGGCTTCTCCTTTGTCTTTGGATGTGGAGTATCTTTTTTGGAAGATACCAGATACTGGTGAGTTCCAATGTCTTCCTGTCGACGATTGTTCAGCAGTTAGTTGTGATTCCGGTGCTCTCACAAGAGGGAGTGAGCACATGTCCTTCTACTCTGCCATCTTGAACCAATCTCCCTGATAGATTTTATTTTAAAATTCTAATGTTGCTATCCACTAAAGTTAAAGATTTTAAGTACTTTTTCACATGAAAATATCTACCTTAGAAATTTTATTTTTCTTAGAAAAATGAAATCTTATTTTTTCTAAATGTCCTTTACACCCTAGAAAAGATGTGAGTGAACAGAAAATTCCAATAAAAGATTAGTACACTGAATTATGTAGGGTAAGCCTGG